GGCTCCACCAGGCTCCTTCGTCCCACTGGCTCCACCTTGGTCAGACATCATCCTGACGGCTCCACCAGGCTCCCTCGTCCCACTGGCTCCGCCTTGGTCAGACATCATCGTGACGGCTCCACCAGGCTCCTTCGTCCCACTGGCTCCACCTTGGTCAGACATCATCCTGACGGCTCCACCAGCCTCCTTCGTCCCACTGGCTCCGCCTTGGTCAGACATCATCGTGACGGCTCCACCAGGCTCCCTCGTCCCACTGGCTCCTCCTTGGTCAGACATCATCGTGACGGCTCCACCAGCCTCCTTCGTCCCACTGGCTCCGCCTTGGTCAGACATCATCGTGACGGCTCCACCAGGCTCCTTCGACCCACTGGCTCCGCCTTGGTCAGACATCATCGTGACGGCTCCACCGGGCTCCCTCGTCCCACTGGCTCCACCTTGGTCAGACATCATCGTGACGGCTCCACCGGGCTCCTTCGTCCCACTGGCTCCACCTTGGTCAGACATCATCGTGACGGCTCCACCGGGCTCCCTCGTCCCACTGGCTCCACCTTGGTCAGACATCATCCTGACGGCTCCACCAGGCTCCTTCGTCCCACTGGCTCCTCCTTGGTCAGACATCATCCTGACGGCTCCACCAGGCTCCCTCGTCCCACTGGCTCCACCTTGGTCAGACATCATCGTGACGGCTCCACCGGGCTCCCTCGTCCCACTGGCTCCACCTTGGTCAGACATCATCCTGACGGCTCCACCGGGCTCCCTCGTCCCACTGGCTCCACCTTGGTCAGACATCATCGTGACGGCTCCACCGGGCTCCTTCGACCCACTGGCTCCTCCTTGGTCAGACATCATCCTGACGGCTTTACCGGGCTCCCTCGTCCCACTGGCTCCACCTTGGTCAGACATCATCCTGACGGCTCCACCGGGCTCCTTCGTCCCACTGGCTCCACCTTGGTCAGACATCATCGTGACGGCTCCACCAGGCTCCCTCGTCCTGCTGGCTCCACCTTGGTCAGACATCATCCTGACGGCTTTACCGGGCTCCCTCGTCCCACCGGCTTCACCTTGGTCAGACATCATCCTGACGGCTCCACCGGGCTCCCTCGTCCCGCTGGCTTCACCTTGGTCAGACATCATCGTGACGGCTCCACCAGGCTCCCTCGTCCCGCTGGCTCCACCTTGGTCAGACATCATCGTGACGGCTCCACCGGGCTCCTTCGACCCACTGGCTCCTCCTTGGTCAGACATCATCCTGACGGCTCCACCGGGCTCTCTCGTCCCACCGGCTTCGCCTATGTCAGACATCATCCTGACGGCTCCACCGGGCTCTCTCGTCCCACCGGCTTCGCCTATGTCAGACATCATCCTGACGGCTCCACCGGGCTCTCTCGTCCCACCGGCTTCGCCTATGTCAGACATCATCCTGACGGCTCCACCGGGCTCCCTCGTCCCGCTGGCTCCACCTTGGTCAGACATCATCCTGACGGCTCCACCGGGCTCCCTCGTCCCCCTGGCTCCGCCTTGGTCAAAACGTTAACAAGTTAACGTGTTGCCAATTACTCCACCGGAGAGTGAGGTGTTTTCCTGTCATATGCAGCTCTCTAAAGCCCCTTTCACACACAGATTCTGGAAAATACACGGATAAAGTGACCCGGGTTCGTTTGATTTTGGTTCATTCACACTGCCAGTGATTTTCCGGAATCAGAGAAGTGCGTTCACACACCACCCGTAAAAATCCCATAAAGACACGTGACATTGATGTGACATGTACTGTCTCAGCAGCGTCTTAAGTTTGCTTATGAGCTGTGATTTCTCTCTCGAGAACCACGAACCATTCGATCATAAACGCTGGCGAACGATCCCGGCTTCAGCGTCATTGTTACGACACAGGATTGATTACGGCTTTTGTTCACACAGCGCGTGCGTTCCGGGACTGAACACGGCAATGTTACTAGGTCCCCAACCCGGCAACGATCCCGGCATCAATCCCAGGTCGTGTGTGAAAGGGGCTTAAAGGAGTTCACTGTAAAGCATTATCTTTTGTGAAGATCATGGTCATCCACCGTCACGCAGAGCTGAAGCACAACTAAAACAATGTTCTTCCGCAAAATGCATGTGGTTCTGTTCTTCCGAGTGTGCAGCTTTAAGCCGCCGCACTGAGCAGACACTGGGCTTGCAGGCTTACATGACGCAGACAGCTGCATCAACAGAGGAAAACCCCGCGCGCCCACCGTCGCATTAACATCCCGCACAATTCCTCATAAGCCATTTATGTGTCCCTCCAAACTTCATTTCCTTCCAGCCAGCTCTCCTTATCTCCCTGCCTCCAATCTGTTCAGCCTTCATGTTAAATCATTTGTGCGAGGGAACATCAGGGAGGGTGTGTTTAGAGACGCCCTAATGATCTCGTATCGATCTACAGGCAGGACAAAAGAGCAGTGATGGACGTGCTCTTTAAAGCAGCTCCTGTCACAGCTCATGCCCTGACACCAGCACAGAGACGCACGCCAGAGAGCTTACGGGACAAGACCTGAAGCACGCACACACACACACATTTAAACATTTAAAACTTCATTTTGCCTTTTTCCTTGTCCAGTGTAATCACTATGGGACAATCTCAGAGTAAAACTGGGAGTTGTGAAAAATATGATACACTGGTGTTTTGCCATATGAGAAGTTTATCTATTTACTCTTTTAATTCATTTTATAACTGTATCGTATATCTCTTTTATAACTGCTTTTATTGTGTGATTATTTAAATTCCTTTCTGTAAAGCACTTAGAACTGCCATAGTGTATGAAATGTGCTATACAAATAAACTTGCCTTGCCTTTATTGTTTTTAGAAACAAGGGCCAAAAGTATCAACTCGTCCTGATCCTGGCACACCTCCTGCGCCCCTGAAGATCAGACGTGAGGCGGAGTGACACAGGTCGCAACCTCATGACCTTAATGGCTTTGAGCTTACAATGGGAGGTGTCGGGTAATGGTGCGAGTCAAAGGTCAAGCAGGGGTTAAAGACAGTTGCTCGTGCTAAAGCAGCGGCAGTGCTCATCGCTTCAGGGGACGGGGACTCAAGCAGGCAGGATTACAGATAAACCAAGGGCTGGGATTCAGATTACAGCCTCAGAAACGTTTGTGTTAACATCATGTGATGAGTTGATGAAGGTTCATTCATCCAAACCAGCATCCATGTTACAATCAGTCACACAGTGTTCAGATATGACTGAACAATACTAAAGTTCAAGTGTTTTACACAGTCTATACATATTTCTGGTCATTCTACCAGTCACTTTTTGACAAGAATTTTACATTTCTTTCGTGTTCACAATTTATATATATATATATTCATAGTTTTATAGTAAAAAATAAATAAATAAATAATGCTGTACCCAATACTGTTTTGAACAAAATACAATTTTCACTCAGTAGCAATGTAGCGAATTCAGATTTTTAATAAATGTTAATACTTAATAATGATTAAAGAAAACAAATGTCCTTTTATCTTTATCATTTTTATGATCGGGACCTTGTCTGGGTTATTTTGTAATAACTGGCTGACTGTACATTATCCCTACTACGTAGTTTCGTAGACTCATTTGAGTTCACATGATAAAATGTTTTACTTTTTTTATTTTTAATACAGAGAAACTAGAAATGTATCTTTGTGCATTTTCTATTATTAACAATACATTGTGAAATTAATATTAATATTGTGACAGACATATGATTACAATTTAAAATAAAAACTGTTTTCTATGTGAATATATTGTAAAAGATATATATAGCGAAGTGTAATGTATTCCTGTGATCAAAGCTGAATGTTCAGCATCATTACTCCAGTCTTCAGTGTCACATGATCCTTCAGAAATCACTCTGATATGATGATTTGATGCTCAAGAAACATTTATGATTATAATCAGTGTTGAAAACAGTTGTGGAAACTTTCTTTGATGAATAGAAAGTTCAAAAGAACAGCCTTTTTTTTTGTAACATTATAGGCTTTATGCCGAGCGTCACGTGACCAAACCGGAAAACGGGTCTCATTGCATCCGCTTGTCAGAGAAAGTGTTAACGGCCGTAAGAACTAACTACAATATCTATGGATTTTTAAGGTAATCAGCTAACCTACTAAGTTCACTTTGTTATTGGTGTTTTATGCTATTTAAATATCTAAACGTTAGTGTGAAGAAGAAAAATGAAAAAACTTTTAAATATCAATCTGCACATGCGAGGGACATTGGTTATGCTCATTTTTGCTTGCTCCTTTTAAGTTATCTCAGTAAAACCGCAAAAAATGTCATAAAGCACATACAAAAGACCTGAATCAGAAGCGATGTGATCTGTTTTCCGGCTTGGTCACGTGACACTCGACATAAAGCCTATTGTCTTTACTGTTGTCTTTAAAAAACATTTTTGTCTATTGATTAATTTAATGTGCTCTTTTTTTTTAAACAGATATCATTTGTAACATTATTAGTATCTTAACTGACACCAGTTTAAAGCATCCTTGATGAATAAAAGTATTCATTTTTTATTTGTTTTACTGTTTAAACTTCTGAACAGCAGTGTATTACTCTTTGAACGACTATTTATCAGTTCTGTTCTTGAAATTGTACCTTCACGGGGGAGTCGCTGAAGAGATCTTGCGTGTCCTCATCCAGTTTGTCCTGGTTCCAGGAGGCCAGAACCATCCCACTGCTCTGAGGACCCGGGTCACGTGCCGGCAGACGGACGTCAGCGCTCCAGCAGGGGTCGTCCTGCACACACTAATGAAAGATCCGTCTATCCACACATGCACAGATTTCAGAAGTCATGTGTGCATCACATCAATAGAGATATAGAGATGAAGAGTATGGCACTGGACATCAATACGCACACTAATCATCATTTTAATCTAATATAACGTTCCCTCTAAACTATCATGCAGGAGCACACTGATCCTGGGACAAACAGAAAAACAAGATCTGTGCAGAAGGAAGACTAGAGATACGAGCTAATGAAAGATCAGCTCTTCAAATGAAGTCTATCCACTGATTTCAGAAATCATGAGTGCACATTAGCAGAAGAGCGGTGATGTCAGTCACCTGCGGCATGGGGATATTGATGAAGAGCTCGTCGTCACTCGTGTCCATGACATCAGACCGGAGCGGTGACTCCTCAAGCACACGATTAACAGCAGGCCTGTCTGCTTTATCCTACAGCAAAGACACACACCTGTTGGCATTTCATCTGGGGAACACCTGCTCACATGACCATAGCGTGAAACATCTACAAAACCTTTTCTATAAGAAATCGCCGATATTATCACAGACTCTAGCAGAGGCTTGTGTGAAAGGTGTATATACTACAGCTGCAGAAGCCAATGACGCCACATCTGGACATGAGGCATGCTGGGAAGACGGTTTAGAGAAATAAAGTAGGTCTGCCGTAATCAGTCTGAGAGACACAGCAGATGTTGCGACTTAGCAGGAGAATACTGAGACTCTCACAGATGAGCATACGCCACAGTCACCGTCACCAGACATGGAGGACAAACAGCATTAAGCTTTTAGGAGAAAACGTGCAAGAAATTCTACGCACACAATTTTTCTTGTTGTAAAAATACCAAGTACAAATATTCCATTTAGTGTCTAAATCAACATGAGCTGCACATCCGCATTATCCAGTGGTCTAAGACCGATTACATCACGCCACACGGCAGGATTCTCTGAACAGTGTTTCCTGAATCAACACACTGCTGGCAGGCGTTGACCGATCTATGGCTTACCATGTGAGACCATGCATTTTTCTGGTACTTGATTTCTGAGATAATAAAACTCATGTTGCTGTTATTAAGAGCGGAGGTAAAAAAAAAATTTAATCGTAAACTTTTTTTTTGTTGCACATATCAAACACCATAAATAATCCTGCTCAGCACAGAGGAAGTGGAGAGAATTGATAAACCCTTAAACATAAATAATAGACAGCAGCTGTAAAAAGAAAAATATTGATAGTGATATCATTAATGTATGATTGATATCATTATGAGTTACTCTAACCCAGACCTGTGCTGCCCTCTGCTGGTGCACCGCCACTTCTGCCATACACATGATTCATACATGCATAAATAAAATAAAATATTCAACTTATACAAAATGATTTGCATGAAATGCCTGTGCACTGGAGTGGAGAAACCCACCCGCTCGATCCAGCTGATGTCCTGAGGGGCTTCTCCCTGGAGCTGGTGAACCGCCAGCCTGAGCAGAAAGTTACTGATATCTTCAGGAACACGAGAGCGGATCGCTTTAAAATCACTCAGATCTGTTGAGGAATAAAACAGAAGTAACATAAAAGATGAATTATTCATTAATATGATCTCTGCTAGATAAGCGAGAGTGTGCTGATGTGTTTGACCTGAGTGGGCCGGAGTGGAGGCGAGGTGTTTTCTGATGGTGTTGTAGAGGTCCGCTGAGAGTCCAGCTCTGCCCGTGTCCACAGCGCAGCCCGCCTTCTGTGCCTGAAGCAGATGAGCCTCCACCACAGCCACGGGCAGCGAGCGCGCGTCTGCCACCTGCCTCTACACAACACACACACACAACACACACAACCCCATCACACCACAGCCACGGGCAGCGAGCGCACGTCTGCCACCTGCCTCTACACAACACACACACACAACACACACAACCCCATCACACCACAGCCACGGGCAGCGAGCGCGCGTCTGCCACCTGCCTCTACACAACACACACACACAACACACACAACCCCATCACACCACAGCCACGGGCAGCGAGCGCACGTCTGCCACCTGCCTCTACACAACACACACACACAACACACACAACCCCATCACACCACAGCCACGGGCAGCGAGCGCACGTCTGCCACCTGCCTCTACACAACACACACACACAACACACACAACCCCATCACACCACAGCCACGGGCAGCGAGCGCGCGTCTGCCACCTGCCTCTACACAACACACACACACACACAACACACACAACCCCATCACACCACAGCCACGGGCAGCGAGCGCGCGTCTGCCACCTGCCTCTACACAACACACACACACACAACACACACAACCCCATCACACCACAGCCACGGGCAGCGAGCGCGCGTCTGCCACCTGCCTCTACACAACACACACAACACACACACACACACACACACACACACAACCCCATCACACCACAGCCACGGGCAGCGAGCGCGCGTCTGCCACCTGCCTCTACACAACACACACACACACACACAACACACACAACCCCATCACACCACAGCCACGGGCAGCGAGCGCGCGTCTGCCACCTGCCTCTACACAACACACACACACAACACACACAACCCCATCACACCACAGCCACGGGCAGCGAGCGCGCGTCTGCCACCTGCCTCTACACAACACACACAACACACACAACACACACAACCCCATCACACCACAGCCACGGGCAGCGAGCGCGCGTCTGCCACCTGCCTCTACACAACACACACACACAACACACACAACCCCATCACACCACAGCCACGGGCAGCGAGCGCGCGTCTGCCACCTGCCTCTACACAACACACACAACACACACAACACACACACACAACACACACAACCCCATCACACCACAGCCACGGGCAGCGAGCGCGCGTCTGCCACCTGCCTCTACACAACACACACACACACAGAACACCTCACACAACGGCTGCTTCACCAGGGCTGCGTTCAGCCGCGACAAAAAGTTGAAAATGTTTTTTGAACGGAGCCGCTGGTGTGTTGAACAGCCTGTTCTGATGAGGCAAGAGTTGCAGCTACGGCAGCTGAGAAGGACATTCTGGGTGCTCTTTTTGAAGAACTTTCAGGGCCTGATGAAATCAGTATAAACACGTGTTTAATACTGCAAAGTACGCTCTGTTACAGTCACTGCCCTTGCCGTCCAGAATAACAGAGAACATCCCAATCGAGTGAAGGGATTTGTGGAAACTGTGGTTCCTAATTATTGTGATCCAACATTTGCCTCGCTATTCAGGATAACAGTTCAGGTGAAGGACAATCCACTTCTGACCTCCGAGACTGTGTTATGATCTATATCAGTGTTTCTCAACCAGTGGGTCGCGGCCCACTAGTGGGTCGTTGTTCGTTCTATAGGGGGTCGCGAGACTTTCTCTGTGTTAACCGGCACAGCCAATAAGTGGGCTTCACAAAAGGCTCATTGCAACAGGTTACGTTTACATGCAACCAAATCCAAATAATCTGTTAGTAAACGCATTGACGGTTCAATCGGACTAAAAAGCCTTCATGTAAACACCTTAATCGATCCGATCGAGCTCGATCCGAATAAAATTTCAATTCGATTGAAAGGGTTTATTCTAATCCAACTGGGAGGACAAACACTTGATCGGATTGAAAACCGAAACTAAAGGACTGCGCATAGCATAATGATGTATGACGCGCTGAACGAGCTGTTCTTCCTTTTGAGTAAAGTGTCGTATAAATGAGCGTACCATCATTCTAAAATTCTCCTTTCACTCAGCGTCTGTGAAGTGGAGCAGGACAACGTCCCACCAGTCCTTGTTTCAGACTCTCATTCACAGACGACTGGTTTTGGGTGCTGGGCATTTTTACTGCGTGATAAATAAGCAGCACGGCACAACGGTTCATATGCTCATTGTCTCCAAATTATGACCAGCAATGGATAAATATTAAGTCTGCTGTTTAAAACAAATAAAGAACCAATGTAAGAGAATAGTTAGTATGCGCAAACAGCGGGAAACTCTGTATATTCGTGCAGTGTGTGCATGTCAAAATGTTTTTTTTTTATTTGAATCTTGTGAAACGCGCACATTAACCCGATCACGTTTAGCGTTCATGTAAACACTACATTCAGATTCATCAATAGGAATGAATTCAGTCCGATTGAAACAAAAGTTGTACATGTAAATGTAGCCGATCCTCCAACGAATCGAAGGCTATTTTCATTCCTTGGATTCAAACCAGAAATGAATATCCACAACTCGCAGATTGTGCAACGAAGTTTCTCTTCCCATTTAGCACTACTATCTTTGTGAGTCGGGATTTTCAACAGTGACTGCAACGAAAACAAAAAGCAGGAATAGGCTGAATAACGACATGAGATATTATTTGCATGTCCACGACACCGCACTGCGGGACCACAGCGAAACGAAAACTGAAAATCAAACCGCAAACTATCTTTACTCCGGTGACAAACTATTGTTTGTGTGCGACACTACGAGTCACACTTTTCCAAATTCCACTGCGTCTGGATATGATCATTTCAGAGCGGCAGTCTCAACATTAACGTGAGTAAAAAATCAGTTTGCCTCATAGTCTGCCTAATTATTGAAAATGTTTGTGTGTTTTCGTGATTATCATTAATTATAATAAGCATAATAAGCCTACGGTGTAGCCTAGATCTAAAGAGGCATTTCAGTTATTGATTTATTTAGTGGGTCATATGACTGGCATACAAAAGAAAAGTGGGTCGCAGTAGGCAAAAGGTTGAGAAACCCTGATCTATATGACCGTATTATTTTTATTGTGAGTATTAGGCTTATCATAATTGCTGATCACTGTTGATATGCTTTATTTTTTCAATAAAACTCTTACGACAAACATGTCTTCTTATATCTTCAACTGTTGCAGACACATTTGTAAACGGCTTTACTCGGACCCGATGTGCGAGCGGTCTCTTTAACACCGCGTGGTTTACATGTTGCTGCTGCTGAGGCTGACATTTATGACACACCCACCAAACAAGAGAAAACGTGTCTCAAACCCCGTTACACACCGTTTCTAGGAAACATGTCATTCAACCCACAAACAGGAGCAAAACGTTGCTCACCGGTTTGATCTTGAACGTGCCCCGGCTAAACAGGCCACCTCAATCACGCCACGCTCAGATCACGCCACGCTCAGATCACGCCACGCTCAGATCATCGGCCCGAAATTCATTTGAAAACATGATGATGCAATTAATTTAACAGACAGAGACTTGAGTACATCTTTAGTACAATGAACCTAAAATTTGTTTTGATATTTCTATGGTGCATGTCATGAATTCACGTCAACGTTTCAGAATTTGTTAATGTTTTCCAGTCCTATTGCCCTCGATGCATTTTTAGCAGCTGCTGCTGCTTCCCAATGAAGCCGTTTATCTTCCGTTTTGCATCTTTTGTACGGTCTCATGCCAAACACATCCATACATGTTTACATTTTTCAACTCCAACGAATTTTTGTGCATTGTTGGAAGTATTATTATTTTTTAATTATTGTTCCTTTTCACCTTCTCTGACATCCTTATTTGCCATTGACCCAGCTACACTGCTATGTGTTTCCACGATGGACACTTTGGACATTGCGCACTGTAATTCTGTCAAAAACACATGACCGAGACTGCACTTCAGGCGAGTAATATGAGGTGAATGTCGTACCATGCTCTTGTGCTCCACCTGGAACAGCCGGTACGTGACGGAGACGCTGTCCGGCAGAAGCTGGCCCACAGACCCTACGCCTGCTGTCTGGACGGGTGGAGTCGGGCTGGAGGAAACATCCGCCTGATTCACAGAACAACTCATTATCATCATCATACAGTGTCACATTTCATCCTAAAGATGATAAATCAAGCCCTGAGAGAAGCATCTGGAGCCAGTAACATCCACTATGAAATGTATGGGCATGGTCCTGGATGCTGACAGGTCAATCCCAAAACATTGGTGGCCTAAAGCTACAATATGTATGTTATTTTCTCGCCGCTAGGGGTCGCTAACCTCTTACAATAACAAAGGTGTAGGTTGATGACGCAGTGATAAGCGGAATGATGGGACTTGTCGTCATGCTGATGGATCTAATAATGTTTATGGATGAGTGAATACACTGATGTTGTTATCATGACTGTGGTGTGAAGCGCGAGTGCTAATGAGAGACAGATCTCAGCGCCACACGCGAGTCCTGCGGGTATAAAGGAATAATAACATTTAATTCTACCGAACTACATGCCAGTACTGAATTACTCACACAGGTCAGTTTATTAGACGAATGAAACGTGTGAGGTAACGCAGCGCTGCTTCACTTGCTCTAACAGTTACACTATCACACTAAACTGCATTTGAGTGTGTTGAAAGTTATAATGTTATTCTATGTGTTAGTTTGTTGGCTGTATGAGACTAGCAGTGAGCTAGATCAACATTAGAATAACATACTGATCATATTCTAACATTTCATCATGTTGAGCTATATAACATTGATTAGTTTCATGTACATTTGCTCTCCTGTCTAATAAAGTACGCAACACTCTTGTCGAAGTTAGTCGCGGACGTGGAGCTCTCGACATCTCGAAAATGATATTGATCCTCGTTTTAGTCCTCTTTTTGTCTCAAAGTCTGCTTGCCATGGTCCAAAATGTTTGAACAAAACAACAACAGCGTGAGCGTGCCGCTAGGCGTAACCCAGCATTAGTCCACGTCTGGTTACTGTGGCAGTGCGAGCGGAAACCGAGGGTAACGCGGATATGACGTCATTGACTGGCGACTCCTCACCCCTGCTCACAAGCCCCCGTTCCTTCGGTTAAAATCGCAATTTTCTCACGGTTTGCAAATAGTTGGAAACATTTGGGATATTGTAAGTAATCAACTAAACAAAATCTATAACACTGGCCTAGTGGTTTTTGGATATTTTACTGCAAAATTCTTGCATAGTGCACCTTTAACTATTATGTACTAGGGGTGTAACGATATTTGAACCGAACCGAAAAACCGCGATACACCACCCACGATACGTATCGCGATACTCTCATGGCGAACCGAACACGCCCCGCCCCCTGCGGCCCCGCCCAGCCCCGGCTCATTGCACCTCATGTGTTATGTGTACACAACGAATACAGGGCTGTTGCCTAACCACCATTAACCACATATAATCGCAATAAGCTCAGTGTTTTGTTACTTTTGATAATAAGCAAGGTGTAATCTTTCAAATGGTGTCTATTTGATCACGAAATGCAAACAATAAATGCCGTTTTGGCGCTCTTAGATGTGGCGTGACAGATATCACTGTATGCATGCGGCAGCGCGGAGCGCGATCATCTCTTCCTCAGTTACAGAATAAACATGAATGGACACCCGAAGGTATGTTGAAAGATACAGTATACTTACTGAAAGCCATCATAACTCGTGTAAACACTCAATCAGTGTTTCAACAGCGGAAATACGTCAATAAAACGCTTAGTTTTTCACATAGCTTTATATTTACCTCAGGCAAGTCATTCAGTGTCCACAGCTTGCTGGTTTGCTAACTCTTTCACTAAATAAATGCTATATATTAGCCTATATATTATATTTTACTTAACCTGTTTATGATATCTTGATTATTTAATGTATGTTTAAAATAGTTGTCATGAAAATAACAGCAACTGTGTAAATTATTATATAACAATAACAAATTAGAGTAAAAACATGTTAATGCAAAAATTGCCTTATGTGCAGTTTACATGTTTTCATACAATTTGTTATTTGAGTGTTGATTATTATTATATCATTTAGGCTAAAAGTCTAGGTTCTGTTGTTAAGCTTTAATGTTATAGTAATGTGCAAGTAAGGGCTGTAGTTTACAGCATTAGCAGATAATTTTGTTATCCTTGAGAAACGTTTACTTGTAATTGAATTAATTTAATGACAAGGACACAATTTGTTCATTAAAGCACTGTTTAATAAAAAATAAAAGCAATTTTAGCTTTCTAAACCCCCCCACCCCACCGAAATGAACCGAACCGAACCGAACCGAGACCTCAAAACCGTGGGACGAACCGAACCGTCAGGTTTGTGTATCGTTACACCCCTATTATGTACTAACATAAAATACCCACAAGTCTGTGCACTCCCACGTTTACTGCTAATATGTTTGAGGTATGTTTGGCTTTAGGAGTAAAGTTAGGGTTTGGGTTAAAGTAAAGGGTTAGGTTTATACGGTGTTAAGAGTGTAACTACAACTGTTACTTAAATGCAAGTACTTTAAATATAATTAAAATGCACCGACATGTACGTTATTAGTAAGTATATTAAATCTAATGGTTAAGTTTATAGTACTTAAGGACACCTAAAATAAAGTGTGACCTACAGTCATTATTTTTGCACATCAAACTATCAATATTTTTGCACACCGTTCAAAACATTTTTCACATTTTTAAAGAAATTTGTCATTTTATTCAGCAAGGACACATTATATTGCATCAAGAAAGAAAAAAAAAGCATAAAATAATGCAGGCTTGGTGATCATAAGAATCATCTTTCAAAACAAAACTTATTGATCCCAAACTTTTGAAGAGTAGTGCCCAATATTAAAAACTCGTTTTAATGTTGTATTCATTTTTTAAATGCATTTTTATGATGTTGCCAGGTTTTACTTATTTTACTTATTATAAATGTTCTGTTTTTATTTTTTAGGTCTTTTTGGTTTGAATTTTTGCCATGTTCTGTTTTACTGTGCGAGTATTTTTGATTTACTTGTGAAGCACTTTGGTCAACATTCGTGTTGTTGAAAGGTGCTCAATAAATAAACTTTGACCTTGACAATATGCAGTGTTTATCCGTGTGCTAGTGTGCAGTACCTGTAAGCTGTGTGTCTGACAGAATCGGGCGATGACCTCTATCAGAGGCGTGAGCACGGACGCTTTGGCTTCTGAAACACCGTCCACCTGCTTCAAGCTGGATGTTGAGCACGGCCTGCCAAATAAAGTCCACATGAAGCCTCAAAATATGACACACAGGGCTTGACATTAACTTTTTTGCTCACCAGCCACTGTGGCTAGTGGTTTTCAGAAGTTACTCAGCATTTTTACTGGCCACAATTTGGAAACCGTTACCATAGGGGAATAACTACCATATAGATATTTTTAATAGCATCTCATAATTTGGCAGCCGGTATATTAGGCTACTGTCACTTTAAGACCTGACGCACGGACCCATTATACGGTTTTATCAACCTGGTCTCACAGAATTCAGTGAAATGAACACAACCCTTAACTCAAAATCTGTGGCAGTTTCACGGGATCGCCGAAACTTCTGTGACGGGTCCACGGAAGTGATGCCCATGTAAGTCAACGACAGGCAGCATCCGTGGTCCACTCCACACACGGATTCCCTGTTCCAACACCTGCGCTCCCCCAATTTACGTTGTTTTATCATTTGGAAACATATCGCTTTATTATGGGTTTACTTTAAAAATAATAATTAAGTACTTTTTAAAGTGATTTTAACTTGATATTGCATTGTTCTGGCGTCGTTTGATCGCTATGGTCTGTTCTGTAACGGTACCACCACGTAATATTTCGTTAGACACATTTATTTCGTTATTTTCGTGATATCAGCACGTTTTTTTAAACTAATGTATTTCAATGGGAAGCATCTTTCGTGATCACAGCACGATTCTTTCTACCTGTCGGGCTGCAGCAGAGAAGCTGTTTAATCCACATTTATTCACGAGATACTTTGTGCACGCACTTTGGGTGTGAGCACAAAATCTGCGGGAATGGGTAAAATTGTGCTCAATACGCGCAATCCCTCGCCAGAATTCAAGCCCTGTACCACCAACAATATTCATCCGGAGCAAATAAAACGAGTGCGTAAAGGGCTGGTGTGTCGACTCGCTGTCGGAGAGATTAGACAGCGAGAGCTGGTATCTTTTGTATCTGTTCTGCGGAAGAGTTTCAGATATTTCAGTATCAATATGTATCGAAAAATAAATATTACTGCCAACACTAGATTGTACTTAGTTTATTATTTCAGATGCCTTTTTAAAAGACTACAATTGAAAAATGTATATTATATAAAATTCAACCCGCCAGAGTGGCTAGTAGGAGTGACTGCGTTACACGGGTTGGCGGGTGTTAATGTCAAGCCCTGATGACACATGACAGTCATGTCTGGCTAAGTTTAACATCACCACCACCACCTTATTTATTATTTTAAATCGTCAGTACAAATTTGGCTTTTTTTAACAAAGTGCGGTCACATAAAATGGTCCATTGTTTACGGTCAATAGCGTAGCGATGTGTGAAGCACAGCTCACACAGAAGACTCTTTCATTCCAAGCAGCTTTCTCTTGGTCAGCTCGGCATATTCAAGTGACAAAAGAGCGGAATCTGCATCATCGGGAACTTTTCTCGCTTTCACAAAAAACTCCCAATGGCACAGATTCCTATTAGAGTGACTGGATTTTGTCTGCGAAATTGCACAGAGCAACAATAAACGTGACCATAGTAAAATACTACACTATCCTACATTATTCCAAAGGCCATCAAACCCTTTCCTTCAAGAAACATTACCTTAATTTTGCCATGTCCAACAGGATCTTATTGGTAGCCAGTAGAGCTGGTGGGATGTCTCTGAGGCTAGCTAACTTCTGACGCTCAGACACCAGCTGACCGTACAGTTCAGACTGCAAAAACAGAAGAAACAAGACCGAGAATGAAAAACTGATTCTGGCTGTTGTTTCCAGAGACGTACACGGCAGAAATCACTCAGTTACTCTAAAGAAATCAGAAGGATTGATAAATGTCAGCACTGGGCTCATCCTCACTCTGTGGCAGAGCTGTTTGGTGACCCTGGACCATTTATTTACGGTAGGACATTTACAAAATATCTTCATCGAACATGATCTTTACTTAATATCCTAATGCTTTTTGGCATAAAAGAAAAATCGATAATTTTGACTCATACAATGTATTGTTGGCTATTGCCACAAATATACCTGTGTGACTTGTGACTGGTTTTGTGGTCCAGGGTCACATTTACATTCAGTACCTGAAGCTGGATCTCTCTAGCAGAGACCGCTGGAGTTTGGGCTCGGACATCAGTGCGGATCTGGGTTGGTCTGGCAGCTGATCTGTAAACACATATTAAATAACATAATGCCAAGACATTTTGTGACGTGACACAGTAAGTGGAACAAACCTCTGAACAACATACGCAAACCATAATCAAAGAAAAATGATAATTTGGAGTCAAAATTTCAGTAAATATTTATGTATAATTCATACCTTGAGGGTAAGACTGCTTTCTCCACCATCTGAGGCGTGTCAACTCCAGAACTGACCTTTGACCTCTGAAAAGAAACAAGAGAGGGCTGCAGAAAACAATAAAATCAAGCATTTAAAAGTCAAACTGTTCATTTAAAGGAAGATTTCCGCATTGATACTGACCCGAGTGAGATCTGGCTGCGGGTCAGAAGCAGTGAACCCAACATGTGCTGGATCTGCTTTTCTCCTGCAAAGACACACCAGGAATACAGTGAAGAACGCACACAGAGATCATTAAGCCACGCTAGTTTACATGGCAGGAAAATGTCCAGTGCCTGCTATTCTGCAATGTCACAAAAGAACACCTTTCACAGTGTCACATGAAGTACATCATAACAAATAAAAGCAAACACAATGTAAATCACTGAAGATAAAAAACACAAGAAAACTTTGATTAGATGTAAGCTATGTATTAGATTGAATGGACTGGAATCTGTGAGCGGCCACCACCCTCTCAGGTTTGGAGCCAGTGTGTCCTCGTCTACACAGCACATGTGAGTTTGCGTGTTGTAGCGCTGATGATGGGGTGTGTGCGGGTCTTACCGCGGTACGGTACTGACTCTGATGAACAGATCCCTGTTGGGCTGCAGCAGGAGTCGCCTGTGCCTCTCATCTTCAGCTGTACTTAGCCACGACCTGCCCTGAGTCAAGCATTCACAAACAATCTGGATGAATATAGCATGGCTTTTCCACAAGTGTGTGTATTGAAAACATTGTTGAAGATATTTAACATTTTATGCATAAAGTCTGTAATAATTCTAACATATACTATAGTGTACTTGGCACCTAAAAATCCCCATATTGATATTTTAACATAAATACCACCATCATGAGAGGCAGTTTTATAGATTTGAATGCATCCAGACAATAAATCCAATGCGGAGTTCATGCCGCCGCTAGCCTGGAAAAACCCAGACAACTTCCGGCAAATTTAGATTTGCTCTGAAAGTTAGTCTGGCAAAGAGCTCACTCAAGCCCATTTCCAATCCGCCGAAATCGCGGCACCAATCAGAAGCGTTGGGGCGGGCTTTACACGATGATGACAGCGCTGGGATTTTGAAGCAGATTTTGTAGCCTACATTACAGAGATGGATGCCGCCGTCGAACATCACTCGTTCCAATCAGCTATCGCGTCTGTTTTAAGCCATTTGAACGTTTCCTTTTTGTTAACAATCGAGCAAAGAACAACACTCGGAGATGTGTCTCCGCCGCTCTGCATACGTCATCTCCTTCATCGCTCTGATTGGGTTTAGGTCTATCCGCGACGTCCGTTGGTGACGCCCCTCTGGAAATGATTTGTCTATGACGCTTTGCCAGACCATAACTCAGTTACAACTGAGAATGCTCTGGTTTTAACCAGGCTATGCCCCCGCCAATAAAACTGCTGAAATTACTATCTAATGAGCGTTTTTTCTCTCTTCCCTTGGCTGAAATTGCAGTCCCACCATTCTCCCCCTCTAGCGACGCACCCTTAAAACATGTTTACTTAAAGGTATATGAGTAACCTTGAGTGTGAGTACCTTGGGTGTGAGTTTACAGAGAGTGCTGAATTTGTTGTGGCCTGTGGCTTCTATCAGATATTTCTCAGCAACCAGTTCTCTGCTGAGAGCTTTCCACCAGCTGTCTGAGATGTCCCTGCCGATGCCGAACAGAGAGTGCTTCCGAAAGCGATCGGGAACCCGCTGAGAGCTCTGGAGGAGAGAAGACATATTCATTTGTAGTTCTGAGTTTAAAAACTCATGTGTGAAAGATAAAGGCCTCATTGACGCACTATAAACATATTTTTCCTTTCGCTCCCTTCATGGAAACATCTTGAGAACATACTTGGTAACACTTTACTTGAAGGGGTGTGCATAAGACTGACATGACACCTTCATAATCATGACAAAACACATTACATGAATATGAAGGAGGTTTCATGCATGTTTATGACAACTGTCGTTAAGTGTCATTCGCTTAATTATGACATCTTTAATGCAAATATGACATTGTTTGAGATGTCTTTGTTATGACACCTTGACATAAACCAATACATCATAACCTGTCAGTGTCTTTGTCATGACAACTTGACATTACTAAGACAACACAACCTGTCATAAATATGTCATAAACATGACATAGCAGATTAATTATCAAACTTAATAAACCACTTAGCTTTATGGGTTAACATCACATTAAACTGTCATGTGGTTGGTTTTGACATTGGCTGTCATAAGGGCATTATAACTGTCATGAATATTTTTCTTGACCTCGACTACAGTGGTACACATTGAATTTGTCATTAAAATGTTATAATGGCCTCATGACAGCCAACGTCAAAACCAACCACCTGACAGTTTAATGTAATGTTAACCCATAAAGCCAAGTTTCTTAAGTTTGATAATTAATCTGATATGTCATGTTTATGACATATTTGTGACAATTTATGTTGTCTTGGTAATGGCAAGTTGTAATGACAAAGACACTGACAGGTTATGATGTATTGGTTTATGTCAAGTTGTCATAACAAAGACATCTCAAACAATGTCATATTTGCATTAAAGATGTCATAATTGAGCGAATGACACTTAATGACAGTTGTCATAAACATGCATAAAACCTTCATATTCATGACGCGTGTCCTGTCATGATTATGAAGGTGTCATGTCAGTCTTATGCACACCCCTTCAAGTAAAGTGTTCCCAAATACTTTTTGGATTAGTAATTGATTTTAATTAAGTGACATAAAACAAACTCAACCACATTCTGAGGCAGAGGGTTTGGTTCTGCATGTTAAGGGGTGTGTGTGTGTGACGTACCGAGCCCCGCAGGAAGAGGATGGGCGCTGTGATGCCAAACCTCTCATCCATAGTCCTGACGGCCTTCATCAGCTGATAGGCACACGAGCCAAAGTCCTGCAGGACCCCCTCTGGATCGCCTCTGTCCACACTGACAGCACAACACCACAAAGCATGAACTATCACAGCGGTCTGAAGACACACAGAGAGCAGATCCACTCACCCTGTCCTGCAGTTATCACAACACTCACTGCTGCCCAGAATCCCCGACGTCACTTTCCTCAGGCGCTTGTCCTCAAAATGACACAAAATCAACCTACGATACAATTCACACAATGCTCAAAAAATCATTACAAAATACATTACAAAAATCATGTCTCAATAGGATTGTAAGTGTTAATAAATAATAATGTTATGAATTATGCACAAGTTTTTGACATTATTGTCATAAGTAGGAATATTTCCCACTAAAATGCAACAATATGTATCGTGGATAGTGACAATATGTATTGTGTATTGTTCTGCCAAAATTAAAATTTCTGAGTGAGAAAAAAATTCAAGTTTTCAGAGTTTGTGTCAGCACTACAGTAAACTACTGTATATAATGTTGAATATAATGATAATAATGCAATGGGGGAATATTTGTGGGTCCTGATAATGCCAAATGTCTGATGTTACCAGTAAAAAGTGGCCTACATTATTATAAAGATATCTAGTCAGTGACGGAGAACAAGCATATTCATCTACAATAATTCAGTATTTTCAGCTCCAGAATCATGAATATTGTTATTCTGGTGTCTCTATTGTCCTGTGCTTTGGGTTTCAGCACCAAGTCCATCCTATTCATTTACACACACAATGTAACACCAAATTTAGCATCTTAATCAACAGTGCATTTATTGTTAACCTTTTATCATGTGTCTTGGAGTATCGCAATAATATCGTATCGTGAGTTCAATATCGTGATCGGTATCGAATCATGACTTGAGGACATCGCTACACCCCTTAGGAACAACACATTTTCTTTGATTGAGTTCAAATATTCTTTCATGAGATTCACCCAAAATTAAATTCACTTACTTTCGTCTGCATTTGGTTGAATTTAGATACTTTTCCATTTTTGCCATCATGTCTATTTTGTAACCTCTGAAGCGCTCACTTTTGGATTGATTGAGTATGAATCTTCAGGAAAAAGCAGATATATTTTAAGTAAGCTCCTAAGAAAACGTCCTGTAAGTTCAGCTAGTTAAGGGTGAGCGGTCACCTGTTCAGGGCCATGTCTCCGGGCATCCACAACACGTGACACGCGCTGGGCAGCCCGTCTCTGCCGGCCCTCCCGATCTCCTGATAGTACGACTCCATCTCTTTGGGAGCCCCGTAATGGATGACCTTCCTGATGTCAGATTTATTGATGCCCATCCCGAACGCCACAGTGGCCACCACACACTGCAGACACAGCCATGAGGAAACAAAACTGTGACGAACTCTAACTTTGGGAGCGCCCTACCAGCCAAACACCAAAACCAGCTCACATGATGATGCCACCCTCACAGGCACTTCAGCACGCGGCCACTAGAGGCAGTGTGAAAGCAGACTGCACATGCTGGCACCTGATGATGAGGACAAGACGCTGATATTCAGCAGTTCTGCGGATCAGGCAGTGTGACGTCAAGAGTTTAAATTAATACATCAATAAAATATTCAATGCAAAATAGTTTTGGACAATATGCTGAGACACAGATGTCTTAACTCGTGGTGATCATTTGCTCTTCAGTTTAATATGCCATTATTAAAATGATTAATTATCTGAAACCGTTTAATTTAAAATCAACCGTCCATAAATGATTTCGGTAACACTTTATAATCAGGTTTATTAGTTAACTACCTTAGTTAACATGAACTAAGAATGAACAATACTTCTACAACATTTATTAATCTTAGTTAATATTAATTTCAACATTTACTAATAGATTATTCAAATTAAAAGTATTGTATTTGTTAACATTGGTTAATGCACCGTGAACTAACATTAAAAAACAATGCTTTTAAAATGTTTTTATTTTTTTTCTACTATGGAAGTCAATGGTGCCAAAGTTCCAATCGTTCTTCAAAATATCTTCTTTTGGGTTTAGCAGAAGAAAAACTCATACAGGTTTGCAACAACTTGAGGGCGAGTAAATGATGACAGAATTTTCATTTTTGGGTGGAGTATTCCTTTAACATTAGTTAACATGAACTAACAATTAAACATTTCAAAAGCATGTATTAATCTCACTTAATGTTAATCTCAACATTTACTAATATATTAAAATTAAAATCAAACGTTATATCTGTTAACATCAGTTAATGAACCTGAACTAACATCAACTAACAATGATCAGTTGTATTTTTAATTAATTAATGTTAACAAAGATCAATAAGTACTGTAACGAATGTATTGCTCATTGTTAGTTACTATTAGTTAATGCATTAACTAACCTTAACAAACGGAACCTTATTGTAAAGCTTTAGCAAAACCTTCCCACAGCCAAAACTGTCCACAGTATGTGGATGTGAGTCCGAAACAAATGACTGTCCTCCTGCACCACTTCACGGACAACTTTAGATTATATGCCACTATATTCAACAACAGCTCGCCTCGTTCCACGCATTACACGCCCTTACATCACTGCACACGAGCAGTACCTTTCCGTTTCGGTTTCAATCCGATCAAGTGTTTACATGTTCTACCCAGGGTTTCCGTTGTCCGGTAATTACCGGACATTGATTGGCCGGGGAAAAAATTAAATGTCCGACAAAATTAAATCTCTCCGGTCAAATTGTCAGATTAAAATTGCGTAATAATCCCGCCCCCCTAACACAATATGAATTTGAGAATAAGCCTAAAATGTATAAAGCAAAAATACACCGACCTTTGGCTATGTTATAAAGGAACAGGCTCTACCGTTTGAAAGTTAATAAACAACATCGCATGCTGCATTTCAAATAAAGCGCACGCCTAGAACGGCTGTAATATAGACCTAAACAACGAACGATTGAGTGAGACGTTTCAAATATGGCCATGCCCAGGCAGGCTAGCCTTAAAGGAACACTCCACCGTTATTTTTTTTTAATTGGGGTTTCTCCCCTACATTTAGATAGGTGGGCAAATGCATGTTTGAAAGCACAGGTGAAGCACTGCTACTTGGGCGCAGAGATATCACGCAACACCTGAAATAAAGCTTGACACAAATAACCGGCGAAAGTAATGATCATGCATGAAACATTTGAATTATTGATAAAGTTGATAAATTGATAAAGTTGATGACGATGCAGACTTACTCGCCATCTTCGCAGTAGTGAACGCGCCTATAGAGAGAAGTGTGCACGCGCCGGCGACTCCGTCCTGATTATATTGTCCACTATATTTGCTTCTTATTTATTAATCCAGGCAAATTTGTTGATGAAACATTGATTAAAAGTAAGATACAATTTATACAAAACGAAATTTTCAAGCAAAAATAATATTCGAAGATCGCTGGGTTGATTATTATTAAAAAATCGCACCCCTCCACCACATGCACGCACACATGCATTAGACTACACACCAGAGCATGTGAGCAAAGCGGAGCGGTGTGACGCTTATTATAAGTTAAAAAACTTAAACATACGTTTCATATTTATAAATAATGTAATGTTATTATTTTTGTTATGTTGATTATATGATTATGTTGATTATATGAAAAGGGAACCGCATGAGATGAGTAAGATATAGATCATAAGATGACCAATATATCGGAAAACATTTGGAATGGGTCAGACATGATTTTGACCACTTATTTAGTTTTGTTTAAAGTTTATTTCGTTTTGTATAAATTGTATCTTCATTTTAATCAATGTTTCATCAACAAATTTGCCTGGATTAATAAATAAGAAGCAAATATAGTGGACAATATAATCAGGACACGGAGGCGCCGGCGCGTGCACACTTCATATGAAGTGTGCATTTCTCTCTCAGGCGCGTTCACTACTGCGAAGATGGCGAGTCTGCATCGTCAACTTTATCAATTTATCAACAATTTAAATGTTTCATGCATAATCATTACTTTCGCCGGTTCTTTGTGGCAAGCTTTATTTCAGGTGTTGCGTGATATCTCTGCGCCCAAGTAGCAGTGCTTCGCCTGTGTAGAGTCTCCGCAACGGCGATAGATTGAAACGCGCGTCCGAGTGAAGATTGCGCAACTCGCGCAGCGCGTCGTCCATGACACTGATAGCAGCGGACACGAGCGCTCAGCTTGATTTCAAAAAGAACTGATTTTAGCGCTAGATCTCTTATTTAATAGCGAACTAAATGAATGATCTGCTAGTTAACTGGAGATGTTTTATTTATTTGTATTAGGTACATCCGTGCCTCAATGTTTCAAAAAGTGAATGTGTGTGAAACCATAGTAAAAAACAATTGGTGTTGATTGACGCCAATCGGACGTTCCTGTTTTTTTCCGTCTATTTGAAAGTTAGGCTAATAATAACATGTTGCATTCTATATGGCCTGATTATGTAATTTTTTAAGTTACATAGCCTGCCTCCAGTTTTCCTCAACTTGACTAATTAAGAGGCGATTCATTCCGACTGAAGTGTTTACATGTGACTTGTTTTATTCCCACAGTCCGATTAGAATCGTATACACAGCTACTGACAGCAATAGAGGGGGAAATGACAAGACAGACACTATAAGTAAACTTTGAATGGCGCTCACCTGGATCTCATCCCTCATGAACTGGTGCTGTGTGTCCCTCCTCTGCTTGATGCTCAGCCCTGCGTGATACACTCCACAGGGGATGTCCAGCTTACGCAGCGCCACTGTCACACGCTCAGCCTCTTTCTTTGATGGACAGTACACAATGGCTGAGCCTTCAAACTCAAAACCACCCCTAAAGAGGAGAGAGAGAGAGAGAGAGAGAGAGAGAGAGAGAGAGAGAGAGAGAGAGAGAGAGAGAGAGAGAGAGAGAGAGAGAGAGAGAGAGAGAGAGAGAGAGAGAGAGAGAGAGAGAGACTAACATTAACGAAATAAATCTGTAATGTGTGTAAACTCTTTTTGACTCTTATTGGATTCAGAAGATTAGAATTAAAGTAGAGATGGTAATACAAAGACCAATTCTTTAGTAGATTTTGCATTAAATTGTTGTTGTGTTAAACTGCTGGTATCAAATTTTCTAAAATAAAACACCAGACTAAAATAATTAAATAAAATAATTACAGAAGTGTCAATAACTGAAAGGTTCCATAATCCATTTAAACAACTTTTCTAGTCGTTCATGATTACTTGTTTTATATATATATATATATTATTTATTTATTTATTTATTTTATTTATTATTTACTCCCAAATAGAAATTTTTAAACGAATAAAATATTTTGCAGCTGGAAATAACTAAACCCATATTCATTATAAAAATATAGATAATAGAAATCACACTTTTAAAATGGCTGCATATATCCAGATTGAGAGAATCCTTGTATGTAAATAGAATTGGCAGTTGTTGAGGGAACGAATTAAAATAAGTTTCAGCTAACATCATCATCTCGTAACTTATTTCAAAGCTTGTCTTGTCTTATTTTTAGGGGGTTGGGGAAGCCTGATGAGGCAACCCTGGTTGAGCACCAGTACATTACGCAATCCTGAGCCAAAATACTTAAAGAAACATTTGCATAGAATTATTCTGATAAGTTATTTCAAGAATCAGCATGGCCTACCCTTTCTTTTTAACCAGAAATCGTTTGAGGTCCTGGATAGCGTCACCGGACTTGCGATTGACGTCCAGGTAGAGGTTTGGCCGGTCGAACGAGGTGCAGGTGATCATGGGATTGATCAGATGAAGGCTCTTCACGATGTCCTCGCGGATAGACGGACTCGCCGTGGCTGTGAGCGCACAAATGGGAACCTGATTAAAGAATAGCAAGTTAGGAATAACATGAATGGATGATCAAAATCAATCATTGGGAGAGACTGGTCAATAGCTTTATAATGACAAATCAAAACCAAATATGACTTACGCCAGGGAGATTTGTCTTGAGTTTCCCCAGGTCACGATACGCACTTCTGAAATCATGACCCCACTGAGAGATGCAATGAGCCTCGTCTATCGCAACCAGTGATAAACCTACACACACACACACACACACACAGTGGAGAGGTTCCTCAGTTACGCTGGATCATTTCAAACATCCTTTGGTGTCCTGGTGTTTTCCTCACCAGGAGTCGCGTCGAGCTGCACTAGCAGAGGGATGTTCCCGGAGCAGAACTCGGGTGTCATGTACACCACCCGGAAATCCCCCCTGAGGACGAGACAACGGGAAACAGCGGATCAGGCGCTCAAGTCACGTCACCGAATCAGCTTTAGTCTAAACGTGACATGCCAATTACTGTTAAATCAACCCCAAGATTTGATGTCACAAATAATACGACTGTATAAGGGACAATATACAGTGGCATGAAAAAGTTGGTTCTCTGTATTGGTCATAAAATGTCATGAAACTGGTCATTGGCTCGCGAGGTCGTTCCACAGCATCTCTACGAGCGGTCCGTGTGCTGTGTCGGACATCGCTTGTAAATCTCTCATTATGCTAGATCACCCCCAAGTATTGGATTGAATCTTCTTATCAACTTGGCCTCGCTGATCTGAGCTTATGCACCTCATTTATTGGGTGAAAAAAAATTCAAGCTTATTCATCTAAAAAAAAATAAAAAAAATAATAAAGTGCATCAGCTCAGGACAATGATTTGTGTGCAATATTTTGTAGGTCAGTGTAACGGTTAAAAAACTAGTGCTGGGCAACGATTAAATCGCATCCAAAATAAAAGTTTGTGTTTACATAATATATGTGTGTGTACTGTGTATAATTATTTTGTATATATACACTGTAAATACACACACGTACATGTATGTATAAATTTAAGAAAAATATGTTATTTATGTACAATATGTATGTAACATGTATAAATATATATACAGTATATACAGTATATACATGCATGTGTGTATTTATATATACAAAATAAGTATACACAGTTGTACACACACACATATATTATGTAAACACAACACTAGCTACTACATAAACACTGTTCTTTGTTTGGCGCGCGAGAACAAACTTCACTGGTTCGTGCTTTGATGAGCTGTATGTATGAGTGTTGATCAGTGTTTATAGGGGAACACTAGCTTAAACTAGTCCCTCTGTGGTGGAAATCCAGCTTTTAATGTTGTTCATATGTCTATGTTGTGTTTTTAATATGCTTTAAGACAAACCATGTGCAAATTCATAAGTCAACTCCATTGCTGAGTATGTTCTCCTTAAAGGGATAGTTAGCCCATGATTAACTCACCCTGAAGCCATCCTAGGTGTATATGACTTTCTTCTTTCAGACGAATACAATCTGAGTTATATTAAAACATGTCCTGGCTCTTCCCAGCTTTATAATGGGAGTGAATGGCTGTTTGACTAATTGACTGAAGTCCATTAAAGCGCATCTATTCATGATTACAGTGTTCAGGGTGAGTAAAGTTTTGGGTGAACTATCCCTTTAAAACTGCAGTGAACCAAAGACAGTCTCAAAAACACGGTGTGAAATCGCCGGTGTTTCTGACGTCACACACGACCTTGTAACCAATCAGATCAACGTGTGATCGTCAACCAGTGGATCTATGAGCTGAGTGAGTGAGTGGAGGCGGGGCTCACTTGCATATTCATAGAACCACGTATACTAAATGAGGCAAGGGTGTCGAGTTACATTCAAGATATTTTAAGGCATGAAGCCATGTTTAGTATAGTATAGTCCCAGCCAGCGATACGATATTTGCCGATACCTCAAAAAGTTCTGCGATACGATTCGATTCAGGGTTATACCGATTGATTTATCGATATTTAGATATTATGTGCCAAGTTTACACAACCAGTTACATTTTTATTAACTCACAAATGCAACCTAAATATATAACATGAACGTTTAATTAAATTCTTTGAAAATTGCACACCCTCTCTCCTAATTGGGACATTTACCACAGAAGAGTTCATTTGCAAAAACAGATAACACCGTTCTTGTTCATTACATAAATCATGTTTTTTATTTATTGTGCATTCATTCCAAGTATCAAACTGCAGCTGGGTTGTTTTGATTAAGTAATAATAACTGAAAAAATAAGGTAAACAGGTAACTTACTAAATAAAAATGTAAGTTCATTGAAAGTATGTTTTTTTTTATATATATTAAAAGTTAGTTTTTTTTTTTAGCAAAATCAGTTGTTTTTTGGCAAAAGCAGATCATTTCACATTTCATGTTTCAGAGTTAAACAAAACCAAGTAATTGCTATGATATAATAAAACACTCGGTCAATCTTTGTAAATGTTAATCTCCTCAGCTGACAGACGCCTGACAAACTTTGTTGTTGTGATTAGACGCAACACAGGGAGCTCTTCCCTCACCGCTGTAGCGTGCAGCTTTAGCAAGGGTCCATGAGAAGGTTTCAGCTTTTATTGTCCTTTTGCACCCCTAAGAAGATCACAGGTTCATCAAGTTCGTTGAAATCATCCATCCTCAATCACTTTTAGTCAGCTTTTTCCTCTCAGCTAGCGTGTCTTTTCGAAGTGACTAACAGCCTTGTCACCTGACCTAAATACTGCGCGCTGATTCGCTAGTACGGACTTGTGTTCGGTTGTTCACCAACAAGGGTGCTGCTTGCGGGTTTCTGCTGTAAAACATGAACTCGCGATGCCTTGACAGTGGACAATACCGGCTTTTGTGACAAAACGTGTTTAGGGTTCAGTCAATCTTGCCAGGCGTCTATTTCAGCTTACGTTACAAAGACACAACGGCAGACAGTATGCTATGGTGAGTAAACGAAAATGTATATATCGATGTATTGTTACACCAATATATAGTACCTGCTTAATATTCAATTTTTCCCCATTATAAATCTTTTTTTTTTTACATGGAGTGTAGCATTTAACATCGCAGGACATGTCAAGTACACAAGAGTATTTAATGCCAAACAGCCTCTCACCTCTTCACTTCCTCAATTAGGTTTTTGGTCTGAGCAGATCCAAGAAAACAAGCAGGGATGTTTGACATTCTGCAACACAAACACAAATATTAATGAATGAGACCTCCACTGATTTATCACAACACACAATAGTCTTCCTAGAGCTGCCATGGGGTTTCTTTTTCTGAAATATCTGATTAATGTTGTATTGTGTAGATTTTCATCAAAAGGCTGACCATTCCACTACACGTCTAAACCTCAGGCACATTTCAGCTTTCACTACAGCCCTGAATGCACATTCAAAATGTCATAACTTGAAATACGTCACAACGTGGTTGTAGAGTCAGTGGCGATGTGATAAATGTGACGTACTGCAGCTGAAGCACCTGGTCCTCCATCAGGGCGATGAGAGGGCAAATGACCACACTGATTTTCTCACAGTACACTGGAGGAAACTGGAAACACAAACTCTTCCCATAACCTGCCAACACAGCGTTTCGTGTTAACAGACATTTGAACACAAACCAAGTCAAAATTATTTGCATTGCACTTTTCACAATATACATTGTTTTTAAAGCAGCCTTACATAAAATCATAATCTAAATGTTTATAATATTTTAATATCTTCATGTCTAGCAGATTAACTGGGTGATAACATTCAACTGTTTCACACACAGATGCGTAATAGCTGAAGTCTACAAATACAGTGGCGGACAAAATTATTAGAACACCTGACAGATCTGAAAATATTGACCTTTTTTTGCCTTCAAAACATATTTCATAATGTTCATGAAAAATGCAGATGGTCACTCTGAGCACAACAAATATCAGATGAAGTGAGTCGTACTGTGTGAAACTTACCAATTCACAAAATTAACGGAATGCATAGCTGATCTAAAAAACGGATGACTAGTAATTTCCTACTACTAAATTCTGAAAAAACAGAGATTCTAATTATTGGACAAAAAACTTCCACACGTAATAACCTAGTATACTGTCTAACACTTGATGGCTGCTCTGTTAAGTCTTCGTCGTCGGTTTTGGTGTGCTCTTTGATACCAATCTTTCATTTGAAAATCACGTGTCTAGTATCTGTAAAACCACATTTTTCCATCTTAAAAATATATCTAAATTACGCCATATGCTCTTATTAACAAATGCGGAACAATTAGTTCATGCGTTCATGACATCAAGGCTAGATTATTGTAATGCTCTACTGGGTGGTTGCCCTGCACGCTTAATAAACAAACTACAGCTGGTCCAAAACGCTGTAGCTCGAGATCTTACCAGAACCAGGAAATATGACCATATTAGCCCAGTTCTGTCAACACTGCATTGGCTGCCTATTTAACATCTTATAAATTTTAAAATATTGCTGATTACCTACAAAGCACTAAATGGTTTAGCTCCGCAGTACTTGAGTGAGCTCTTAACGCATTATAGTCCTTCACGTCTATTGCGATCTCGAAATTCCGGCCAGTTGATAATACCTAGAATATCTAAATCGACTGCAGGCAGTAGATCCTTTTCCTATTTAGCACCAAAACTCTGGAACAGTCTTCCTAACATTGTCCGGGAAGTAGACACACACTGTCAGTTCAAAGCTAGACTAAAAACACATCTCTTTGACCTAGCATACACATAACACACTATAAACTTCTATAATTCAATGTTAGGCTGCATAGATTAGGTCAGCCGGAACCGGGAACACTCCCCATAAATCCTGATGTACTCGTTACATCATAAGAAGAATGACATCTACGCTAATATTAGTCTCTCTGTTTATCCCGAGGTTTACCGCAGTCCGCCGGATCCAGGCCGTATCCAGATCTGATGGAGGACCTGCGCCTGTACACGACGAGAAAACTACGATGTAAACTAGTCTCTCCCTGTGAAGGCCTCCTTCCCTTTACCTCCGTTGTCTAAATAGTTACTCGGAAGCGATAAATAACAGCGATCAGTATTATAAATTTTTAAGGCCAGACAAGTTGAGGTCAATTTGTAAAGAAAGACTACATGCCTGCACACATATATATTCAAACACACATACCTAGAGACTAAACTCGTCATACGTATGTGCACGCCGTCAGCGTTCTCACAGGTTTGCGTTTCTAAAGCTTGCGCAGAGATAAGATTATTTTATTTTTTTCCTCCAAGGCTTGCACATTGGAACCTATTTCAAGGTTTGCGTTCTCGAGCCCCAGGCACTGCTGTTGTGCGAGTGAGCGGCCGGAGCACGTTGGGGGTTGGGGGTTTTCAGTGTCGTGTTAGCGGCCCCAAGTTAATAACTAATGATCTTTGTGACGGAAGTGAATCTATCAAAACTAACTTTAGCCGGACAATAACTTTATGCTAGAGCTGCTGTAAAGCCAAAACAATCTGTTACTGTAATTTCCTATTATCACTGTAAAGCTGCTTTGAAACAATCTATATTGTTAAAAGCGCTTTATAAATGAAGGTGACTTGACTTTAATATTTGGTGTGTCCCCTTTTTGCCGTAATTACAGCAGTGCATCTCTCTGACAGAGTGTCTATATATTTCCTGAGATCTTCAACACTAATGTTATCCCATGCCTTCTGCAACTGAAGCCAAAGGCTTTCCTTCGGATGTAGAATAGATCTGTCCAGTTTATTTTTCAACTCGCCCCAAATTCACTCGTTTGGGTTGAGGTACGAACTTTGACGGGGCCAGTCCATAATTTTAATGCTCCAGCAGATTCCTCCCGTCGCAGATAGTTAGAAGATTGTTTAGGGTCAGTGTCCTCTTGCAAAAAAACAATGAAGCCTCTTAAATGTTATGTTCTAATACATTTGGCCACCACTGTACTTCTCCTGATAAACGCTAATCTCACAACAGAGCCAAGAAATGCAGATCATGCAGAATGATATCTAACCCTGAACTACAACTAAACTGATGCGTGTGTATTGTAAAGATGTACACTGACTAAATACCATTAAACCATACACAAAAGTGAACACTTATTCAGAAAACAAACTATAAAGACTACAAGATAATTTAGTAAATATCTAATAACTTCAAGGATCAAGAAAAAGTTATACCAGTTGCCATGACAACAAGATTATCCCTCCTCTCTGTGAGAACGGACTGAATCACTTTCCACTGAACCCTGAAAAACCACGAGCATCATTTGACAGATCACATAATAAACAAACAGAGTGCTAGTACCATTAATAACTGCATACACATTTCTTAACATTCATAATCAAATGTATAAAAGACACACCAAGATTGCTTGGGTTTCAAAACTTACGGTTTAAAGTTGTGATGTCCAAAGAATGTTTTCAGACATGTGATTTGTTCAGGAACTGGTTGTGAGATACTTGAATCTGAACAGAAACAAACAAAGTTAGTTGAAATTCAAAACTGCTGCTAACAAACATTAAACAAGCTTGATGATAAATCAAAAATATTAGCAAAATCAATATAACTCAAAACAACCTAAAATGATACGTATAAAGGAAACCTGGCCATGTGTTGTTTAGAATATCATGCATCATTTACATTTAAATAGATAAAAGTAGTAGTAGTATATTAAATGTAAAGTAGCCAAACTTCTCTCACAACATTAAGACTGAAACCCACTGCAAGATATTCACACAGCGGTGTCTTCAGTCAAAGATCACATAACCATAAAATAAATAACTGTATATTACTCTGGGAAGGCCATTCATGTGCATGATGGACGGTACATTTACCAAACACCTCCTCCTCATCTTCCTCAACATCCTCATCATCGTCGTCAGCACCAGACTGTGGGACATCTGCCGGTTTCTCATTTAATTTCTCTAAGTCATCAGCACACTGACGGACAACAGAAGAGAGACATGACAAGAGTGAACATCCTTTACCTCACCCTTCGTCTTGCCAAACCCATAGAGTTTTTGACTATCTTTAATAGTTCATTGGCTCTCTTTAATGGCTCTTTATGGTATTTTTAAAGCTTGACAAACTAACTTTAAAGCTACAGAATGGAACTTTTTTCGGTTAAAAAAAATTGAAAAGCAGTTATTGAGGAAGTACATAAGACATCAGTGTTCAAAACCGTTAGGAAGACATTATTTATTTAGCACTGACGTCTTATGTAACCGATTTTCAATTATAATCTTATAAAAATAAATAGTAATTTGAGTCAGTTTGAGGCGATTTGTCTTTGCATGGTTATATCACGACAGCATATAAGAAACAGAAAGAAGACCATATTGCTGAGGACACATTTCCTTCTCTGTACGGCTGTGATATTTCACGTAGTGTCACGACAACTTCTAGGTTGTACGTCACACATCACACACATGACCAGCGTCGGCCAATAGTGAGCCTGCGTGTGACGTGCAACCTAGAAGCTTTGCGCAATATCACTACGTGAAATATCAGGCCCACAGAGAAGGAAATGATTAGTTGAATAAAGTCGTTATTTTTGTTTGTTTTTTGCGCACAGAAAGTATTCTCGCCGCTTGATAAACTTAAGGTTGAGCCACTGTAGTCACTCGGACTATTTTAACGATGTCTTTCATAACTTTTGGGCCGGCCAGTTTCAATCCCTTAAGAAGCCTATGGAGGAGTGATCCAGCTCTCAGATTTAATCAGAAATATCTTAATTTGTGTTCCGAAGATGAACGAAAGTCTTACGGGGTTGAACAACATGAGGGAGAGTAATAACTGACAGAGTTTTCATTTTTGGGTGAACTATCCCTTTAATAACAGACTCAAGGGTGACTAAATGATCACAGATAAATGGGACAAATGTTTCTGCTGCTACGATATGTGAACACTCTCTCCACAGCGATCACCTTCATCATTTCATCGTCAAACTCCTCATCCCTCTCCGTGTCATGGGAGCTCTCGGGGGCTGAAGCCTGCTGAGTCTGAAGGAAACACCACAGTCATGAGGCCGGAGTGAGAGACGCAGAAGAGGCGCAGAAGAGCTGAGTGAGGCGCTCACCTGGAACGCTAGGATGCACTCCTCCTCCAGCTGCTCCTGCCTGGCCTGATGCTCCAGCGTCTGCAGCTCGTACTGCGACACCACACACTCCTCAGGCTGCCTGTGGCCGCGCTCCTCAGGAGCTGTGCAAACGCCTGCCTGACGGGTCCTACTTCTGGCATCGTTGAGGTTTAGAGAAGACTGATCAGCTGCTTTGATGCCATTCGACAAAGCGCATCTTAGGGATGCAAGTGTCTGAGACAGATCATCCACGAGTCTCTCGGCACTGCAAAATCATACTAGTCATATTAATATCATAGTCTTAATAACAATCATGCACAGGGAGAATCATGTACCGTGGACTGTGGAATTTATTTTAAAGCTCCAGTCCGTAACTTTTTTAAGTTAAAAATAATCCAAAATAATTATATTAAAAAAAACTTATTCTGCCAGTGGTCAAAACTATCTGCTTGCCATAGCTAGATTCAAAACGGTTAGCTTGTAATAATGATTTTAATTCCAGTGGTACTGGTGGGTTTCCGCGGGAAATTCGAGCATGTCTTTGCGTCATGACGTCACACCCGTACACATAAAGAAGGAGTTTCGGCTAGCCGGCTATACTGCGCGTGACGAGATGTTTAGATGTATAGGCTTTTCTCGCAGCACTTTACATTATTAAACTCATGGCATCCAGAAAGATCCAAACAACAATCATCAGTGTCAACTGGAGATTCAGCAGTTATAAAACCCAAAAGACTTCGTACTTCGGATTTAAGGTGGCTAGAGAAAGAGAAAGAAACCGTCTCATGCGAACACAAGGATTAAACATCGGCGGGGCTTTTGAAAAGTGCGTGAACTCCGTGTTTTGAAGGGGTTCAAAACGGAAGAAGAGACGCTTTTTTCTGCTGAACAAGTAAGACATTTCAATAGTTCAATCGTGTAACAGTACGTTTTCTTAATTCACACAGTTATGGAGTTTCCTTTGTTGTGCCTTTCTCGTTTTGCTATTATGGAGAATATGAATTCTGAACTACACAGGTAACCATAAAACACATTAAATTTAACATTAGTCACGCAATGCTGATGTTGTTAACATGAACAATTTGAGAACAAAGTAGGCTATAATTTGCACGGTTGCTGTAAATCGCGTTGATTAAATCTAACAAAGCTTATCATGTCGAATGTTTTTTCCCCCTTAGATGGTCAGAACAAAAATGGATGTTACTTACTTGTTCAGAAGACATTTTCTTATGAAAATTCTTATGTTGGTCAAACTTTCAAAAAGTGAATCTGTGATTCTGTATGACAGTATCCACACAGCGCGGTGACTGACAGCAGCACTCGCCTCAAAGCACTGTGTTCATCCACGCTGTTTCATGCCGATTTACAACCCACGTAAAGATGATAATTCCACGAATCACTGCAGTTACAGATTTCGAACAGAGAGATGGCGACAAAGAGGAAAAGATACGGACTGCAGCTTTAAATCAAATTTCTGCCTCTGCATTTCAAGCATGGCTCATATCAAGTAAAATTAGTTGCACCCTGAAAAAAACAAACAAAGAAATGCCATTTTTGAAAGAGAGTACTAAGAGTAGCTCATATAACAAAAATTAAGAAAAATGCTGGATTTGATGCACATGGAGAATTCCAGTCATGAGACTGCCTCATCTCACTGAATAAAGACTAGAAGTATTAGCAAACTGTGATCAAGATTCAAGCGTGGTTATTAGGGGTGTGACTATATATCGTGTCACAATGTATCGAAATACAAAAATGTAACAATATGTATCGTGGATAGTGACAATATGTATTGTGTATAGTTAGTTTTTTTTAAAAATTTAACAAAAAAGGTTTTTAGAGTTTGTGTCAGCACTACAGTAAACTGCTATATATAATGGTAAATATAATGTATAATAATGCAATGGGGGAATATTTGTGGGTCCTGATAATGCCAAATGTCTGATGTTACCAGTAAAAGTGTCCAACATTATAAATATATCTAGTCAGTGAAAGAGTATAGAGAAAGAGCATATTCAATAATTCCGTATTTTCAGCTCCAGAATCATGAATATTGTTATTCTGGTGTCTCTATTGTCCTGTGCTTTGGGTTTCAGCACCAAGTCCATCCTATTCATTTACACACACAATGTAACACCAAATTTAGCATCTTAATCAACAGTGCATTTATTGTTAACCTTTCATCATGTGTCTTGGAGTATCGCAATAATATCGTTTCGCGAGTTCAGTTTTGTGATATATATTGAATCGTGACATGAGGGTATCATTACACCCCTAGTGGTTATACATTCACTTTATGCTTGACTTTCCTAATCGTGGCCACACATTGTGACAAAATTCAGTACATTATTGGAGGGCTATTGGACTCCATTCGTGGAGGACCCGGTCAAACAGGGCTGCGTTTCCCAAAAGCACAATCGCAACCAATGGTCTCTACGATCAACTGAGGCTTACGATGCTTTTGGGAATTTTTTCCATTTAAGAATTTCTGCTCTAATTTAAGAACTTTACCCAAGGCCTTAACTTGTGTGAGGGTTAATTAAGACTTTCTAAGACCTTTTTAAAGGGGTCATGACATGAATCTTTTTATTATTTCAATATGTTCCTTGAGGTTCACTTATAATGTTCATAAAGCTTTTTGCAAAAAATGTTTTACAAAATGTACATACATATATATATACACACACATGTATGTAAAAAACAATTACGGTATCTGTCTAAAATAACCATTTTAAGACATGGCTCTTTTAAGGCTTGTTCATATTTCAACAAAAGTTTCTCTGCCAACTCTCCATTACACTGTGTTTCGTTTACAAAACAAAATGCTGTGAACAAACATAATCAAATCCTCTGGACCTCAGAGAAAAATAAACCGACCTGTCCGTGCAGTCGAGCTCATCTGGGATACGATCAGCCAGATCTTTAAGATCACAAGCAATCTGAAGAACTCTTTGCTTCAAACCGAGCGCTGGAGATCCTGAGCGGCCCACTGGCAAATGAACACAGAGCACGAGCACAGAAAGAGACACAGATATACAAATATTACATACACAGGCCCTAAACATTATCTGATCATCCTTCATGCAGGAACATGAGAATAGTGCAGCGCAGCGGAGAAGAACATAAGCGATCTCACCAGACATCATTTCCTGTAGTTTCTGATAAACAAGCAATCCAGCCTGTTAGGAAAATAAAGCCAATTATGAGGCTTTATTAGCATTAAGATGTAAAGATCAAATTTTATATGAATATATAAATACTGTATAATCTGCTGCTGTAAATGGTCACCATTTCTATTTGTTTTAATAATCTATTTGCCTTCATATTTCAAATGGTCCTGCGAAAAATGCTGTTCAAATAAAGACCGTGTTTAGTTAGTCACAACTTTACCCATTTACTGTAGTCAAACAGCTATGGTTTATTAGTACTCACATAAGCATCGGTGGCAGCGTATCTCCTCTGGTCTTCTGTCAGACCGAAGTCGTCCCAGTGACTGCAGCGCACACGCCTGTCTTTGAAGAGCTGCTTCTTCAGCAAGCGCTTCACTAGACCATCCAAACTCCACCTCTCACAACACCTCAGCTGAACACCCAACACACACACTCAAAATCAGCAGGAACTTTCATCTTATGCAATACTTGATTTTATCATTATGACCTAGTATAAGATTTTATTTTCTTTACATGTTGAGGACAATGAGCTTCACTAAATAACAACGTTTGTTATTGTATTTGTTTCATGCTGCCAGTATTGCTTCACACCTCTCAACTCTCACTGCTATGGTGCTTGGGTTGTTGCTGCTATGGTGCTTGGGTTGTTGCTGCTATGGTGCTTGGGTTGTTGCTGCTATGGTGCTTGGGTTGTTGCTGCTATGGTGCTTGGGTTGTTGCTGCTATGGTGCTTGGGTTGTTGCTGCTATGGTGCTTGGGTTGTTGCTGCTATGTGCTATGATGCTTGGGTTGTTGCTGCTATGATGGTTGGGTTGTTGCTGCTATGGTGCTTGGGTTGTTGCTGCTATGGTGCTTGGGTTGTTGCTGCTATGGTGCTTGGGTTGTTGCTGCTATGGTGCTTGGGTTGTTGCTGCTATGGTGCTTGGGTTGTTGCTGCTATGGTGCTTGGGTTGTTGCTGCTATGGTGCTTGGGTTGTTGCTGCTATGGTGCTTGGGTTGTTGCTGCTATGGTGCTTGGGTTGTTGCTGCTATGGTGCTTGGGTTGTTGCTGCTATGGTGCTTGGGTTGTTGCTGCTATGATGGTGCTTGGGTTGTTGCTGCTATGTGCTATGATGCTTGGGTTGTTACTGCTATGATGCTTGGGTTGTTACTGCTATGGTGCTTGGGTTGTTGCTGCTATGGTGCTTGGGTTGTTGCTGCTATGGTGCTTGGGTTGTTGCTGCTATGGTGCTTGGGTTGTTGCTGCTATGTGCTATGATGCTTGGGTTGTTGCTGCTATGATGGTTGGGTTGTTGCTGCTATGGTGCTTGGGTTGTTGCTGCTATGGTGCTTGGGTTGTTGCTGCTATGGTGCTTGGGTTGTTGCTGCTATGATGGTGCTTGGGTTGTTGCTGCTATGTGCTATGATGCTTGGGTTGTTACTGCTATGATGGTTGGGTTGTTGCTGCTATGATGGTTGGGTTGTTGCTGCTATGGTGCTTGGGTTGTTGCTGCTATGGTGCTTGGGTTGTTGCTGCTATGTGCTATGATGCTTGGGTTGTTACTGCTATGATGCTTGGGTTGTTACTGCTATGATGCTTGGGTTGTTGCTGCTATGGTGCTTGTGTTGTTGCTGCTATGATGCTTGGGTTGTTGCTGCTATGATGCTTGGGTTGTTGCTGCTATGATGATTGGGTTGTTGCTGCTATGGTGATTGGGTTGTTGCTGCTATGTGCTATGATGCTTGGGTTGTTGCTGCTATGTTGCTTGGGTTGTTGCTGCTATGATGCTTGGGTTGTTGCTGCTGCTTGGGTTGTTGCTGCTATGATGCTTGGGTTGTTGCAGGGAGCTTTGAACGTTTTAAGTGCATTGCTATGTGGTTGCTAGGGTGTTCTGAGTGGTTGCTAGGTGGTTTCCTACTGGTTCAAGTCAAAAGAGTCAAGTCTCTTGTGATTCTGGTCTGTAGAAATGGCTCGAGTGCCTCCAACACAAGTCTGTGAGATTTATTATATTTGGCTTAATTGATAACTTGATTCTGATTGGTCAATTGTGTCATCCAGCAAGCAGATATTTCCAGATATTCACAGTCATGCCTGGAAATGCTGTACTTTATACAGCTATACACCACTGACTTGCTCTCTCGTTGCAATCATCTTATTTGCACTGTTAAGCTGTGCAGGACTGCAGATGATGCCAACTGTGAATCAACATTCACAAAACTGCCAAATTTTCTATATATTGTAATCAATATGATCACAACTTGTAATAATTGCTTTGACATGCTCATTGTTTCTGACTAAATAAACGCATAATGTTATCCAACTGCATGATTTGTATCATCTTAGTACATTTCTGAAATATGGACGTTACTTTGACAGTCAGAAACTATACATATTTTGAAAAGCGCTGTACAAATAAATGTGAATGGAATCTAATCTGTTATTAACTGCAGTGAAAATTACCTCAGCATTAAGATAACTTATATTGTTTTAGTGTTTATCTTGTTGCTAGTCCAATTTTTTACACTGTAATGGACTAATCTTTTCCTTTTGCTCATTTTATCTCAAATCAATATTTCATGTCCTTGTATCAGTGTGTTACTTTCGTATCATGTATAAACTATTATAGTATTTATTAATGTTTTGAATTAACTTATTTCTGAACTATTATAATTTTACAATAACAACACTAGCGTGTAATTATTATTTGGACAGTTGCCATGTAATAAGCAAGACAAATTACAGTCAGCCAGTTATTATTGCAAAATAAACCCCTGATGACTGTCCAGTATCCTATCAGCTTTGCATATTTAAGTCTGCATGTGTGATATTTATGCCAGTGACTTATTTTTTTACCTTTAAAAAGTTTTTTTTTTTTCTAATCTTATTAAATGTATGCTTCATCTTTCATTTCAAACTCTTAAATTGTATCAATAAATTAAATTAGAATAATAAGACACTATAGGGCTATTGGGTTACAAATTAAATCATTTACACTGAAAAATTACATTTACATTAAACAATGTTATGAGATTGTTTTAAAGATTTTTTAATATACAAATAAGAAATGTAAGGCATAAAATGATTTGACTTTTAAACACGAAACTAAACCGTCTTAATGAATGAGTCACTGAGTCATTCATACAAACGATTAGTTCAAATGACTGATGTATTCAGAATGAGGCAGTTGTTTAAGAATGGGTCATTGAATCTTTGACAACCGATTCGTTCAAAACGCTGAATCTTTGTTTAGAACTATTTTCGCTGCTGAAACAGAATAAAAACAGTTTCAATATTACATCTAAAATGTAAGTGACTGTTAATTTTAACTGTTTATTGAACTGTTGTAGGAAATCAATGTCCCATTTTGAATCGTGATGGTATTCAGGAAAACCGCACTCTTGATTGCGTGATTTTTTTTAACTGTATCATATGTTATAAATATAAAAACTTCACATTTTTACCGCAGTAAGTTAACTGAGTTTGTGTGAACTGCTCTCATTCGTTTTCGATATCTCTTCGAGAGGCTGCGCAGGACTCAACAGCACAATCTTGTCACTGTCAGTACATTATATATTATCATCCACTAAATGTAATAAAATCAGAATCATTCTTGCGTTCTGGTGATTCCCTAGTTATTTTTTGTTGTTTTTTGACGTTTTAATCAGGCAACTTGTCCAATCGGGCAAATACAATTCTCTTTCACTGGACATCCACTTGTCCCCAAAAAAAAAACGTTAATGTCGAGCCAACAACCGCGTTATGAAATGCATCTATAAATACCAAGACAGCATACCGTGTCATTGGCCAGATCAGAGAGCTCAACAATATTCTTCAATTTGATGTCATAATCAGATAATAACTTCCACTTGTCTCCCTCAATTCCCACTCCAACTTTCATGACGCTCTCGTCCTCCAGAAGCACCTTCAGGCCGGGAGGAAACCCTGGGCATGATGAGACAGACGTGAGCAGACCCTCAGGTAAAGCTGAACACTGAGCGACAGCTTCTGTCTGAGCTCACCTGACATGGAGGAGATGTGGAACAGAAAGCACTGCTCCTCTGAGGCACACAGCTGCACTACAGCCACTTTCTTCGTCTTCCCTTTGGTGAAGCTGGGCGGCCATTCCAGATCAAATCCCACGGCTGATCCCAACGCCAGACCAGACCTGGATGAGACACACAAAAGCCAGACATAAGGAGAGAAGGGGAAGATTACCAGATCTGTGTGGGTCAATCTACACAGGACTGAATGAACAGCCCAGAACCTTCAGCATTACACCAACATTTTTACTGAAAGCAAGTACATTCACAATGGAAATGTTCATGACTCTTCAAGGTTTTTTTTTTTGTTGTGGTTTTTTTGCATTATGGTAGAAGAATTTAGGTATAAATTGTCATTTAAAAATGTTTAAAAAAAAACTGTGGAACACTCAAGATCTGTAGTTCAAATATAAAATTACAAGAAACATGTAGAGAAGTTTCAACTCATGCGGAAAAATCTGATGGTTTGAAGAATATTCATAATCTGTGATCAACATATCAACTAAAACAAGATCAATGATAGCAAGAACAAAGTCGTACAAGACGTGACAGAAAAATATGTCATCTGAGCAAGTAAGTAGCATATCTGTCACAGCCGTCTTTTATTGGTTTATGGACATTATCGAATATAAACCATTATTAGACTTACCAAACTAGTGACAAACTAGTGGTTTTTAACAATGTTATTTTCTAACAAAAACTTAAAGGGATAGTTCACTCAAAAATTGTAATTCTGTCATCATTTACTCGCCCTCATGTCGTTCCAAACCTGTGTGAGTTTCTTTGTTCTGTTGAACATAAAAGAAGATATTTTTAAGAATGTGGGTAACCAGACAGGGTGCTTCTCAATATTCAAACTGATGCTTCCTCGTTTCCTCGCTCCTCCGTCCTTTAGCCTGTGACCCGGAACCGATCGAACTCAGCCATCTTGAAGGACACCCCAATTCTCTAACTGCACTGCGAGGAATGAGAAGACGAGGAGCGAGGGGGAGACGAGGAATGAGGCGGCGAGGAGTGAGGGGGAGACGAGGAATGAGGAGACGAGGAGCGAGGGGGAGACGAGGAATGAGGAGGCGAGGAGTGAGGGGGCGAGGAATGAGACAAGGAATCAGGCGAGGGGGCGAGGAAGGAGGAGACGAGGAATGAGGAGACGAGGAGTGAGGGGGCGAGGAATGAGGAGACGAGGAGTGAGGGGGCGAGGAATGAGGAGATGAGGAATGAGGAGACGAGGAATGAGGGGGCGAGGAATGAGACAAGGAATGAGGAGGCGAGGGGGCGAGGAATGAGACAAGGAATGAGGAGGCGAGGGGGCGAGGAATGAGGGGGCGAGGAATGAGGAAGCGAGGAATGAGGAGGCGAGGAGTGAGACAAGGAATCAGGCGAGGGGGCGAGGAATGAGGAGACGAGGAATGAGGAGACGAGGAGTGAGGAGACGAGGAATGAGGGGGCGAGGAATGAGGGGGCGAGGAATGAGGAGATGAGGAATGAGGAGACGAGGAATGAGGGGGCGAGGAATGAGACAAGGAATGTGGAGGCGAGGGGGCGAGGAATGAGTAGACGAGGAATGAAGAGACGAGGGGGTGAGGAATGAGGAGGCGAGGAATGAAGAGGCGAGGGGGCGAGGAATGAAGAGACGAGGAATGAGGAGGGGAGGAGCGAGGCGAGGAGAAGAGGAATGAGGAGGCGAGGAATGAGGAGGCGAGGAGCGAGGCGAGGAGAAGAGGAATGAGGAAGCGAGGAATGAAGAGACGAGGAATGAGGAGGGGAGGAATGAAGAGACGAGTAAATGAGGAGGTGAGGAGCGAGGGAGCAAGGAATGAGGAGGCAACGAATGAAGAGGCGAGGGGGCGAGGAATGAAGAGACGAGGAATGAGGAGGGGAGGAATGAGGAGACAAGGAGTGAGGGGGCGAGGAATGAGGAGACGAGGAGCGAGGCGAGGAGAAGAGGAATGAGGAGGCGAGGAATGAGGAGGCGAGGAGCGAGGGGCGAGGAATGAGGAGGCGAGGAGACAAGGAATGAGGAGACGAGGAGGAGGCGAGGAATGAGGAGGCCAGGAGCGAGGGGCGAGGAGACGAGTAATGAGGCGGCGAGGAGACGAGGAATGAGGAGGCGAGGAGCGAGGAGACGAGGAATGAGGAGGCGAGGACTGAGGAGACGAGGAATGAGGAGGCGAGGAGCGAGGAGACGAGGAATGAGGAGACGAGGACTGAGGAGACAAGGAATGAGGAGACAAGGAATGAGGAGACAAGGAATGAGGAGGCGAAGACTGAGGAGACGAGGAGCGAGGAGGCGAGGAATGAGGAGGTGAGGAGACCCACACCCCCCTTCATGTGCACGCGCACTAACACCCTAACCCCCACCCCCAAATCATTCTTGTCGGTTATTGGCTGGAACACTGTTTGTTATGTTTCGTGGTGCAGGTTTGCCTAGGCTGTCTAGTAAAGACCGCGTTTTTTTTACAGTGTGTTCAGGGGACAGGCAGCTAGTGCATAGTGAGAAGATGTTTGCTGTATGTGACAAAAAATCTGCCTAAAAAACGTGACATTGCTTAGAGCACCTTTAATAGTGGTTAAAAGCCGATAACAAATCCGTTAATTAAACTAAACTATACCTGTTCTATCTCCATACAGCATATATTCTCTGACTCAGTGGGGATTATTGTCAACAGAACAAAGAAACTCAAACAGGTTTGGAGCAACTTGAGGGCGAGTAAATGACAATTTAAATCTTTGTGTGAACTATCCCTTTAAAGGGGTCATATAATGGTACATGCACTTTTACAAGTTGATTGTACTGAAATGTGTGTTGGCAGTGTCTGTACACAACCATCATAAAATGATAAAAATCCATCCAGTGTTTTTGTTTTAATCTCCTTATATGTTTTCCCCTGCCTCAAATCGGTCGGAAGCCCCTCCCACGATTGTTGATTGACAGGCGCGTTTCAACACAGACCCGCCCTCGCTCGTGAGGGAGCTGTCAATCATAGTCTGCGCGGACCGGCGCAGTCATTGTTGATATGCTGGAGCACTGTCTATGAGCAGAATGGCGTCTAAGCGATTGTGGTGTTCTGTTCTTGGGTGTAATAACGAACACAGTCATTTTAATGTTCCTAAATCCGAACCGCTGAAGACGCAGTGGCTGAGTTTGTTTTCGAAGGGAATATTCCCCACGAGCAACGTCAATGCTCTCATGTTTGCGCGAATCATTTCACACACCAGACTGCTTATAAACGAGGATCAGTATAAAGCTGGATTTGCTAAGAAGCTGCTCATGAAAAAAGGATCGGTACCAGATATTCGTGTTCCAGCTGAATCTCCAGAAGAACTGAAGTGAGTGTAACGTTTTATTAAACTTTGTATTAATATATTAATCTTTGCAAATCGCTAGCTGCACGCTTCACAATGAATGCGTCTAAGGTTTACACTCAGGGTACATTACGGCATGTTTTCTATGTATGACGTTCTCAATATAATGCATAATCCCACGTTTATACTGAACAACGCGTTATGGTTATTGTGTTATTGTGTTACAAATGGTGTACGCACAGAACAGAGAGGCGGGGTGAGCAAAGCTCATGATCATTTAAAGTCATATGCACTGAAACGGCGTGCTGAAAACAGAGCTGTTTTTGACCAGGTAAAATAAGTGTTTTCTTACAATACTAATGAGAATTTTTAATTAAAGTATATTACAAACTTTTAATTTAGACCCTAAAGAATCATATTAGCTTGTACAAAAATGGCATTATATGACCCCTTTAAAGAAGAAATCCTTTGTAGTGCATCTTTATTGTTATGAAAAGGCAAAAATAAAGTTTTAAAGTTCATCCAAATATATTACCTTAAATCTTCTGATAAAAACGAGCAGTCGTGTCTTTCCTGGCTGTATATGACTGTCCCACCAAACTCCAGATAAGGAAGATAATCCTCCAGAACATTCTTTTTATAGCTTCCTGATGTCTGCAGAAACAAACAATAAGCCCATTCATACCAAATCTGAGGCCTTATTTACTGTAAGCGCATAACAACCAAAGAGTCCATGTTCACGGCAGCGCTGTCACTGAGATACATGATCCTACTGACCTACAGTCAGATGGAAAAATATAAATATATGGAGGGCTGCCAGGTGCTTTTCATACAGGTGTGTAATCTCTATATTTACCATGTTTATACATGTTTGTTTAGACAATTAAGTTATTGTCTCTCTACTTGAAACTGGTTAACCACACAGCTATTCTCTTTAAAACAACATTTAGAAATATAAATAACAAGAACGTTGATTTGAAGATTTGTGCATTGACTGATACAGAATCAGAAATATGTCGGTTCTGATGGCAAAGGTGGCATCATGCAAATATCATATTCATAGTACAGCGCGCTTCAGTGCCAGGAAACTCACTTCATCTATACGATGAATGTATCAAAACATGCAAACATACAGATCATGATATAGACTAGCTGTGTTAAACATTATAAAAGCTTTTGAACAGACTTACTTACCTCAATAAATGTGGAGCACAAGATGTAAGATGTTTCATCTGAGCATTTGTATAAATGATGTGTATTTAACAGTAGACCAATATCATAATACAATATTATATTATATAGTATAAAATGATGTAGATAAGTAGACCAGTATTGTAGACCAGAACATAAGAAAACCAGTATTAAACCAGTATTTCTCGACTGTTGACCTGCAAACAGTGCTTTGGTTTTATTTGAATATGAGCATGATAGTGCTGCAGGTGTCTCAGTAAATAATGCAAATAAGTGGCTTTTTCTTTCTCAACCAATAGAAAACACACACATTAGTGAAAGCACAGGTACATTTGGGAGCATTTCCTCATACACACAACACACCAAAGAAGAGGACAGGTGTATGGACGAAGAAAGAGAGCAAACAGGTCAGTGTAGTGTGGTGTGTGTTAGTATTGTTGAGTTTTCTCACCTGTTCTTCTTGAGGTTTGTTGTTCATCCATTCAGGGAGAGTCCTGTCAGTGTCACCCATTACAGCTTCATTTCATGCGTCTATAACAAGAAAACACCACAAAGCTAGTTCGCCACATAATAACAGTAATGCTAGTATGACCGTTTCCGAGTTTGACATTAAGTTACAGTGTGACAATAATAATATTACTTTTGGTATAACGTTAACTTACTTACAGTGACAGACAAAGCACGCGTTTATTGCCCACCGCGCTGAATGTCCCGCTGCATGCCTCTGCGTTTCAGTCAGCACTTTATATTCCTCTAAAAGCTTTGAAAAGTCGCAGCCTGTCTGTTCGTGTTGAATATTAATTTATATTAACCCGCAACATTTGCAGTTACTTCAGCCAAACTCTCCCGCGCTGTGTGTGTGTGTGTGTGTGTGTCGAGCAGCGCCACCCGTGGGACTGGAGGGAAATCACGCGTCACTGTCAGTCGTAATATCAATGAACAATGGCACTGTAGTAACAACACTGTAAAAGTGATCAGTTGATTTAACTTTAAAAAAAAATGGAAACCCGTTGCATTAAAATTGATAAGTAAATACACTTCATGCTTAATCGAAAAAAAAAAGTAATGTGGAATTTTCAAGTTCACATAACTTATTTTTTCTTCAATTAGCCTAATAATTTTAAGGCAGCGGGTTTACTAAAAAAAATTAAGTAAGTGAACTGAACACTTTTTACAGTGGGGTAAAGCTTATGTGTGTGAAGTGAACAAGGTCTTCATGGAACTATATGGTTGTTTAGTTACAATGCTTAGCTAACACTTAACATAGGTTATAATGACAAATTAATATAGGGCATCATAATTCTCAAGAAGATGCATTTGGAAAGTGCATAAGTGTCAAACTCACTGAACATCTCTGTTGTATTTATGAGTTTTAAAAGCTTTTGTGCTCCTGACAGGCCTAGGCTATCGGATATGTGAAAACTTAAACATAGACTGCTGACTCAAATTCAATATAGGACACAAATGAAAACTCTCTCTTATTTGTCTGCATCATGTCATACTGTGTGAATATTTTATTTAAAATAAAATAATGATACAAATTTCATAAGGATACTTTAAAACAAATATCTTGAATGTTTCTAAGACTTATTCCCCCGGGTTCACAGACGAGGCTCAAGCGAGTCCCAGACAGACTGAAATGAATGAAATGATTATCTTGAAATATGTCAGTGCCATTGTTTTGTTTGGCACGTTTTTAAAAGCAACTTAAATGTCCTGAATGAACTAAGGCCTAATCCTGGCTTATTCTAAACCCTGTCTGTAAACCCAGGGCATTGTAAACTTACTGTGCATGTTTTGTTTAAGCCAATAAAAAGCATTAGGGTTTTATATGTGGCGTCAGGAAGGTTGCCTAATTCATAAAAGTCAGATAGGCCGACTGATTACAGATCTGTAATATTTTCCACTCATGATATATTACTTTATAAGCTCATTACAATTGTTAAATAAGGCATATTATTATCTAATCTTATCATTGCCATTGACTTTCTATTATATTGCACCTCAAATGCATGGTGTCCGAACTTACAAGTCGGAGTCTCAAGGCAATAAGAGTTCAAGATGATGTGAAAGCTCTTCATTACAGTATTCAGATATGACGTGAACTCTCTCGAAATACTTTAATACAAAGATTGTGAATGTTTGTCATGTTTGAAGTAAAACAACTGAATAATGCACAGGGTTAATGGAACGGAGCGGGATCAGATATCATTGGCTATTTGCATATACACAGTCACAGCAGCATCAAAAGAGCATTGTTTCGAGTCACCTTTATTTAGTGCTGAGTGCAATGCATTACTAGTGATTAATTACTGTAATTTAATTATGTTTGCCTTAAAAAGTAAAGTAAGGGATTACTCTTCGTTACAGTCACTTCTGATGTAATTGCATTAAACACTAAACAATAGAGGATTTCACATTAAAAGTTTACATCTAATGTTAAAATATATGTTTTTAATGTAACCTACTGTCTTTAAAAACTTTGGTCAGGCTAAGAATTTTTTATTATTTGTTGGAAAGAATTAAAAGAGCAGTTTACGTAATGTCCACCCTTGTATCGTTCGACTGGTCGAAGTTGAGGAGTGATAGTAAAGCGCTATGCCCCATTTCATTATAGTCCAATACTTTTTAGAGAGAGTAATTCATACAATAATCTAATTACACTGTTGAAGTGTAACTGACTATACATTACATACAGATTGACTTCTTGAGATGATATATTAGCCAGACAGTAGTCCATATTTGACCTACTGAACATATTTCTGGCCCAAGAGTACTCGATCTTTAACTTTCTATACATACTCATAGACTCCTGCTGATGCTTCAGATCCTGTATGGAAGTCCATATCTCACCTATTGAACTTATTTATGGTCAAAGGGTCCTCAAAAGATTTGCAATAATATAAATGTATTGTTGTAATAAATGACTCCTTCTGATGTTAATTCAGCTATTAATTTTACTTTTTTAGAGTAATGTCTAGCACTTTATACAATACAGGGCTTACACGAAGAATTGTGGATTGGTATCATTCAGAAAATGTCCTCCAGTTCTGCTTGAAGATCAAGTGCTGGCTTATGCTAATCGTACACTAAGACCCGGTTTCACAGACTGGGTTTAGATTAAGCCAGGATTAGATCTTAGTTTTAAGTAGCTTTTATAAACATATGCATCTTGAGACTGAAACATATTTTATATATTTTAATAATATATGTCAATATGTTTATATGTCAATGTTATCCCATTTTAGTCTGGAACTAGGCTTAAACCTTGTCTGTGAAACCAGGGTTAAGATTATAATTCATTAGTCAATCAGGTCAGTCACGTTATTTTTATACAACGTGATTTACAAATGAATAAAAACATAAGCAATTTTATTGAAAAATGTACTGATAACCAGGCCCAGTTCCAGCTTTGAGATGTTAGGTGGGCCCAGAGTTATTCCCCCTAACAACTTTATTTTCATAACAAAAGAGGCATGTCTTAATTATGAAATTATGGGATAAAAAGTCTAAATTATGACTGTCATACACTGTAAACAATAGTAACCTAAAATTAAGAAAAAAAAATAAAAACCTAAATTATCTAGTTTTATTCAAGTCAAAAATATTATTTAACACCACCGCATCAACCTAAATGCATTCATTTATACCATCAAAATTAATTTATGTGGGTTAAAAATCAGGTAGAAACAGCTCATTAAAGAGGACCTATTATGCTCCTTTTTACAAGATGTAATATAAGTCTCAGGTGTCCCCATAATGTGTCTTTGACATTTCAGCTCAAAATACCCCACAGATCATTTATTATACCATGTTGTAAATGCCCATTTTTGAGTGGAAGGTAAAACATGCTGTTTTCATGCATGTATCTTTAAATGCAAATGAGCTGCTGCTTCCCGCCCCCTTTTCCAGAAGAGGGCGGAGCCTGTACACCTTTTTTGAGCCACACATCCGAATCACGCGCACAGAAAGCTGGATGTCAGACGGAGCATCCTGTGAGTATTAAACTAAGTTTATTTCCGTCTTATTGCGCTTAAACTATCAAATACACACACGAATATGTCAAAAACACACAAAGTTCACATAAACAGTCAGTTATGCCTGTGAACGTAAACAGCAAATAAAGAAATTGCATGTGTATATTAGATCTGTGTTTTAAAGCAGCGTAATATTGAGAATGAGAATGTGACGTCACGCGTTTCACTCCGCGTTGCATTGTGGGAAGGCGTCGCCATCTTGGAAGGATCCGCTATCTGTTGTCATGGTTACTTCGACAATGAGACTGAGAGAAATAGCGACAGAGAGAGAGAGCAGCTTGATATTTGTTTGCATTTTTGCGATAAGGCACAGTTTCTTGGGAATAAATGACGAAGGGGGAAGCAAAACGAAAGGGGCTCTATCGGGAGAGACTAAATAACAACACCAAGCAGCGTTATTTAGAGAAACTACTTGACATCAACAACATGGACCCGTACGACCTGCTACAGAATGGACGAAAGACCCAAAGGTAAAGGGAAGGAGGCCTTCACAGGGAGGGACTAGTGACACTTCAGGACTGCGTTGTCGTCGTGTCCAGGCGCAGGTCCTCCATCAGATCTGGATCCGGCCTGGATCCGGCGGACTGCGGTAAACCTTGGGATAAACAGAGAGACTAATATTAGCGTAGACGCCATCCTTCTTATGATGTAACGAGTACATCAAGATTTACGGGGAGTGTTCCCGGTTCCGGCTGACCTAATCTATGCAGCCTAACATTGAATTATAGAAGTCTATAGTGTGTTATGTGTATGCTAGGTCAAAGAGATGTGTTTTTAGTCTAGATTTGAACTGACAGAGTGTGTCTGCTTCCCGGACAATGTTAGGAAGACTGTTCCAGAGTTTTGGTGCTAAATAGGAAAAGGATCTACCGCCAGCAGTCGATTTAGATATTCTAGGTATTATCAACTGGCCGGAGTTTTGAGATCGCAATAGACGTGACGGACTATAATGCGTTAAGAGCTCGCTCAAGTACTGGGGAGCTAAACCATTTAGTGCTTTGTAAATAATCAGCAATATTTTAAAATTTATAAGATGTTTAATAGGCAGCCAATGCAGAGGTGACAGGACCGGGCTAATATGGTCATATTTCCTGGTTCTGGTAAGAACTCGAGCTGCGGCGTTTTGAACTAGCTGTAGTTTGTTTATTAAGCGTGCAGGGCAACCACCCAGTAGAGCATTACAATAATCTAGCCTTGAGGTCATGAACGCATGAACTAATTGTTCCGCATTTGTTAATGAGAGCATATGGCGTGATTTAGATATATTTTTAAGATGGAAAAATGTGGTTTTACAGATACTAGACACGTGGCTTTCAAAAGAAAGGTTGGTATCAAAGAGCACACCCAGGTTCCTAACCGACGACAAAGACTTAACAGAGCAGCCATCAAGTGTTAGACAGTATTCTAGGTTATTACGTGTGGAAGTTTTTTGTCCAATAATTAGAATCTCTGTTTTTTTCAGAATTAAGTAGTAGGAAATTACTAGTCATCCAATTTTTTATATCAGCTATGCATTCCGTTAATTTTGTGAATTGGTAAGTTTCGTTAGGTTTTGAAGAAATATACAGCTGAGTATCATCAGCATAACAGTGAAAGCTAACTCCATGTTTCCTAATGATATCTCCTAATGGTAGCATGTACAGAGTGAACAGCAGCGGTCCTAGTACTGAGCCTTGTGGTACGCCATACTGAACTTGTGATCGATAAGACATCTCTTCATTTACTGCTACAAACTGATAACGGTCAGATAAGTATGATTTAAACCATGCTAATACAATTCCACTAATGCCAACATAGTTTATATAATAGCACATAATTGTACATAATTTTAAATAGCACATAGTCTATTTAAAAGAATGTTGTGGTCAATAGTATCAAATGCAGCACTAAGATCGAGTAATACTAATAGAGAGATACAACCACGTCGGATGATAAGAGCAAATCATTTGTGACTCTAATGAGAGCGGTCTCAGTGCTATGGTACGGTCTATATCCTGACTGGAAATCCTCACAGATATCATTTCTTTCTAAAAAAGAACATAGTTGTGAGGATATTGTCTTTTCTAGTATCTTTGACAGAAAAGGTAGATTCGAGATCGGCCTGTAATTGACTAATTCTGTACATTGCTTGGTTTTTTAACAAGCGGTTTTATAGCCAGCTTAAAAGTTTTTGGTACGTATCCTCATGACAAAGATGAATTAATGATATTAAGAAGAGGATATATGACCTCTGGAAGCATCTCTTTCAGTAGCTTAGTCGGTATAGGGTCTAATATACATGTTGTCGATTTAGATGATTTAACAAGTTAAAAAAATTCTTCCTCTCCTATAGCAATGAATGAATCGAATTTTTCCTCATGGAGACTACAATGCACTGCCTGGTGCGATACTGTAGTAGTCGGTTGCATAGTTATAATTTTCTCCCTGATATTATCAATCTTATAAGTAAAGAAGTTCATAAAGTCATTACTGCTGTGTTGCTTGGACACTTCTGGGCTTGAAGCTTTATTTTTCGTTAGTTTAGCAACTGTTTCAAATAAATACCTCGGGTTTTGTTTATTTTCTTCTAATAGGGTTGAAAAATAAGCAGATCTAGCAGCTTTTAAGGCCTTTCCGTAAGCAATCGAGCTCTCTTTCCATGAAATGCGAAATACCTCTAGTTTAGTTTTCTTCCAGTTGCGCTCCATTTTTCTGGCTGCTCTCTTAAGGGCCCGGGTGTGCTCGCTGTACCACGGCGTTGGACTGTTTTCTTTAATCTTCTTTAAGAGCAATGGAGCAACTGTGTCTAAAGTGCTGGAAAAGAGAGAGTTAAAAGTTTCTGTCGCAATATCGAGTTCTTGATTAAATAACTTTAGTAGCTTTAATACGAATTGGCTACATCAAGAATGCAATATTACGTGAATGCTGCTGTTAAATGCTCTGGCGGGGAGATAAACATGGTGGACTGTGGTCAGATCAATGAGGGGCGGAGCTATGCTAATAAGGCAGAGTCCGTCAGCCGTCGTGGGCGGAGCCTGTGCAATGTGACGTCACAAAAACTAATCTGCAAAAGGCTTGTTCTGAGACACAGTTTATGATTTATGGGGATTAAAAAACAGGAGTTGGTGGAATTTACCATTTTAAGGTGGTTGTGTACACACACTGCCAACACGCATTTATAGTCAAATACCATGTAAAAGTGAATTTTGCATAATCCCCTTTAAGGTAACAATTGGAGGTCGCCAGCCACTTTTTAAAGTGTAATCCTTTTTATTTCATAATTTTGATGTCATAATTATGAATTAGAATGCATATTTTTGACTTTTTATGTCATGTCATGTGATTTACAAAAGCATGATTTTTTTGCATGTGACTGAAATGGGCTTCCATAGCTACATCTGGTAGTATGGACTATTGATGTATTACTGCATACTTAGCCGTGCACAGCACAGCGCGTGTCGTAGAGCGCAGAAGCGGTATGCGCGTTGAGATGATCTCGGGAGCGCGCGCGCGCCCCTGTGTGTGGAAGAGGGAGGGGGAGCAAGTGAGTGGGTCATTGAGTTCATTCGCACTACAGCAGCGGCGCCCTCCATAGAGATTCTCTCTCTCTCTCTCTCTCTCTCTCTCTCTCACTCACTCCAGCTGGCAGGAATATGTGTCAGATGGATGGTGAGGCGAAAAACAAGAGCTTTTAAAATATGGTGCAAACGGTGCGTGCCTCTGCGCTTCGCTTGACCTCTCATCAGGACAAAGGCAGTCGATGATCCGTTCGCGGAGCCGCCGTTTTCAGGTCAGTCGAGGAGACGCGCCGGAGCTCGAGCTGTAACCCCGCGCGCGGAGAGAGGAGGATGATGAGGATGATGATGATGGAGAGCCGTGCATGAGTATGGCCGACAGTCAGCGGAGGGGCTCGGACAGAGGCAGAGGCAGGATGACTTCGGGATACTCTCCGCAGTACGCGAGCAGCAAAGCGTCGGATATACAGGAGCTCGCGTCCAAGCGCGTGGACATCCAGAAGAAGCGGTTCTACCTGGACGTGAAGCAGAGCGCGCGCGGCCGCTTCCTGAAGATCGCCGAGGTGTGGATCGGCCGAGGGAGACACGACAACATCCGCAAGAGCAAACTCACCCTGTCCATGGCCATGGCGCCCGCCCTGCGCTACTGCCTGGCGGACTTCATCGATTACTACGCGCACATCGGGCTCCGCGGGTGCCGGACGGAGGAGCAGAGCAACGGACAGGCCCGCCGGAGAGTAGCAGCAGAACCAGCGGCGTCTCCCAGCGGCTCCGCGGCGTCCGAGGAGCAGACGCACCGGGTGCTGAAGAGCGAGTTCATCGAGCGCGACAATAGGAAGTATTACCTGGACCTGAAGGAGAACCAGCGCGGCCGGTTCCTGCGCATCCGGCAGACCGTCACCCGCGGGCACGGAGGCATGGGCTACTACGGGCAGGGCATCGAGCAGACCATCGTGCTGCCCGCGCAGGGGCTCATCGAGTTCCGCGACGCGCTCTCGCAGCTCATCGATGAGTACGGAGACGACGAGCCCGAGCGGGCGTGCGCGCGGAACCACGACGAGTCTCCCGAGCTGCCCGAGGCCGCGTCCTTCCGCGTCGACAACAAGCGCTTCTACTTCGACGTGGGCTCGAACCGGTTCGGCGTGTTTCTGAAGGTCAGCGAGGTCCGGCAGCCCTACAGGAACACCATCACCGTGCCGCTGAAGGCCTGGGCGCGCTTCGGGGAGAACTTCACCCGCTACGAGGAGGAGATGCGACACATCTTCAGCTGCCACAAGACAGAGAAGCGGACAGACACGGAGGAACCGGAGGATTGAGCGCTGTTTCGGACCTCTCCGGCGCCAGCTGTACCTCTTTCAGTGTGTGTGTGTGTGTGTGTGTGTGTGCGTGCGTGCATATGCATATGAGAGCATTAGGATCTGGTCTCTTTGCATCTGCTAGGGTTGCAGTGTGTGTGTGTGTGTGTGTGCATATGAGAGCATTAGGATCTGGTCTCTTTGCATCCTACTCTTCTTCCCAGGCTTTACGTGTATGAGGCTGCTGTGCAATTTCTCAAAGCTGAGAATCAAATAATCATAAGCACTTATGTCAGAGATACACGTCACGCGAGATCAAGTGACGAGGATTTCATGGTCCAAAGTGAAGGCTTTTTTGTCTTTTGATGCTTGAAGTCTGACTTCATTTCAATGATCAAAAGAACTGCTACACTTTGCCATTGCACAAACATTACTTTCCCTATTTGAAATCAGAAACCAAAAAGTGCATTTAATACTTACTATATTTGGATGAATTATTCACACACTAGCCTAATGAAAAATGCCCAAGAGGTGCTTGAACTACAGAGCATCGAAGTGTGTTGCTTTAGCATAAATGATGAACGAACACACAAAGATTAGGTTTTTTGATTTAAAAGCTTTTAAACATGGCTTTAAATAGTGGATTTCAGCAAAATCCATCTCTCTGATTAGACGAATGCAGATTCGCTCTTGATAGGTGTGCAATATATGATTTTCATCAGTCCCTGTCACTGGGATCAAACGAGAACCGTGCAAAAGCAAAGCGAGCATTATGGGTTTAAAAGAGCCAAATTTAATTTAGCTTGGTTTGGAGGGTTATTATGTGCTCTTACGTGAGGTGTTGCGTTATGGATTAATAAGGTTTAATGCATTTGACATGACGTCATTCTGCTCAAAACAATAGCTGTGATTAAAACAACATATTATCAAACGTGTTTCCTACTGCATAACTAATAATTAATCATTCCTTTTTGAAATGGCGTATGATAAAATAAACAAATTACTGCTGCATCCCCATCGTGCCCCAATTCATATGATTGTGGGAAATGGTTTAGCAGATTTTGGCATACATTTTTAAAAACTACACTGAAATTGTGCGTACTATGCACAGTGTGTGTTCTTCATACTGAATTTCTGTGGAATATAAAACAAGCAGTAGTGTGCTATTATGAAAGACACAAAAAAGCGTATATAGTGGCCTTTACCAAACCTTTTTTTTCTGGGCCGGTAGCATTTAGAGGCATCTAGCAGTTGTTTTCTGGTTGAAGCACAACTAAAGGAATATTTGCATTGGTTTTAGGTCTGCTGTGAGTTGGCTTCTGTTTATTTGTACTGTAATTTCTGTCCAGCTGACAAGAAAAGCAATTCGTTTCGCCACAAGTTCTCAGCTATACCTTTTTTCTCTGTTCGTACATGTGTGTGTGTGAGAGAGAGTATTTATCTTGTACCAGAATATGACTGAATTATGGGTACGCTCTATGGGTCAGTGTTAAGACGCTGATCTGTACATCTATACACCTCCTACAGGAAGCACTTTATTCAAACAGCACTTTGAGCTGCTTCACCACTGCAAGAGGACCTCGTGTGTGCCCCGTGTGAGAAGAGTGACACTCGTGCTCCCAAACCAACACCTCAGCCTTTCAGGAGTGCGTTCATCTGTCTGCTCTTTGCACTTCTTGGTTTGTTTCGGTTGCGATGTGTCTTACTAGCGTATCACTGACACCAAGCATTCAGTCTGTGATTGTATTGTTCTCATCGTCTGGTTGGTTTCCTATGACTGTCTGCACACAGATTTCTTACAATAAGGGCTGCTATAGGAGGCAGTATATGCTAGTGTGGGTCATAATGCCTATAGTATTCAGATTAATGTACTTAAAGGGCAGGAATGATGAGGCAGTTCCCCCCCCACCTTTTTTTCTACCAAGGGCATCAAAATATTCATAAAGCTACCCTTGAATGGCAGCGGCAGGTTGTTCTCTTTCACCTATGAAGCAGTGTAAAAGCTAATGCGAAATGGATGAACCGTGTGCACTTTAAAAATCTGAGTACAGGTTTGTTCCCAACAAAGAAAACGAGTAAAGTATGCTTGTTATACGTGTATGTGCAATGCATGACCAGAAGAGAGCAGTGTTCGTATGATGTTTTTCTTGCTTTATGTATAGGTGGTGGTATACAGATATTGCTAGTGTACACAATTTATCACCCTGATAAAACAGCGGATTTCATTTTAAAAAAGGAATTATTGTGAAGACTATTTTCCTGTAGTGTTAGAGGAAACAGCTATGTCAATTTATAAGGCCATCTCAAAATGCTATTGTATTGCAGCTATATCCGAGTTACTCTAAACACTTGAATTCATGAAATTGGACTGTTATGCATCACATGTACTGAAGTCACGTTTTCAACCCATAGGCCTTAAAATCATTACGCTGCGGTTGTAATGATCGACTTTAGGGTTACAAATTGTTGCTCCAACGTAGTTTGCCTTCATCTCTAAAAGGTTACATTTTGTACGCATGATGTAAGAAAACAAAAGAACCGGGGAAAAGGTATTTCGAATGATCTCGCAAATAAAATGAACAGTAACACAGAGTCAAAAAGTCAAATATTTTAGTTCTGGAAATATGGAGCAGAAATGCATAAACTTCTGTATTTGTTCTTGGTAGTTATGTGGATAATGTGACGTCCAAAAAAAAAAAAAAACAGAGTGATTGTTCACAAGCTTTTTTCAGTTGTTCCTTTTTTAAAATCTTTGTGTTGATCATCTGCAGTTGGAATTAAGACGTGTTGGTGTTTGGTAAATGATTTTAAAAGATGGCAACAAAAAAAATGTAAAAGATGTTTTGGTGTACCGTAATGTAGTGTGTCCTCCTGTAGAGCCTTCGAATATTATACGACTCAAAAACAAGAAAGAAATGGTTCTGTCTAGTAGCACTTTCTTTAATGTGAGTACTGTATTAGTTTCTGTCTAACATGTATGGTACAGTATGAATATTCCTGATTTGCCTTGTAATGTTTTTAAAAGGGTGAAAAATGTAGGATTATACATATCTGGAGAAATATGAAGTTTAAAATAGACGTATGTGCATGCCAACAGTAGGGTCCTAACAAACTTACAGTATATATACAGTATAGACAGTATATATATGAAAAAATGGTGCTATAGAGAACAAATAAAGGTGCTGAACTGGACCCTAGCTGCATGCATGTGGAATGACAATGGAAACAGTAGAGCAAACCCGAGGCCCGACGCCGGCCCAACTCTCTCGATGCCCGTTCTCAACGCAAGCAGTTTTGCGTAACTGTAAGTCATGCATTCTTCCGAGCGCCAGCCGTGTGTCGGTGGCCGTTGTTTTCCCGTTCCGGTTGACCTAGGAAAGGTGTGTTTACCCCTGTTGAATGCAACCAGGGAGCAGCCCATCTGCTGACACTCAGACGTTGCGGTGAATAACAGCGCTTGATATACATGTGGGTGAATCAAGGTGTCATATCCTCACCAAAGTACATGCTGAGATGTGTGATGCTTATTTACAGTTACCCAATATTTATGTGTAAAAGTTCCACAGACAATCTAATAAAGTACAACTTTTTTATGTTTAAAATGTGTCTTTTGGTCAGATGTCATTGGCTAACAGGAATATATTTTATAGACTGTTGTAAGAATATGCTGGCAAAACGGGGAAGCTTTTATCTTTTTCCCCATTAAAGTGACTTCATAACTTATTTTGTATAGTCGTTTGCACACTGATATTTCGGTATATAAACACAAACGTTTTTTTTTTTTAAATTAGTGTCTCTGAAGAGTCACGAGGACAAACGTGTACAAACAGTGCAGGATACAGTCCTGGAGTTTGAAGTGCTGTATTTGGCGAGTGTGTTCAGCATATACTGAATCTTAACACTCGTGTCAGGACGAAATATCCCTCTGACTCAGGGTCATTTGAGCCATGGTCGCCGATAGCTGTCCGATCTTAACCTCTCCCAGCAAGCAATTTTGCGTTTAAAAGACGTCTAATAGCCGTCCAAACAGCCCTGACGTCTAGACTAAAACAAGGCAAAATTTGGGCTGTCAGTGAAAATGTACTGGACGTCTAAACCATCGCCCAAGAATAGTCATCAACGCATGTCAAAGACATGAAATCACTGTTTACTTTGCTTACATGATGGCATATCATACATCTTGCTAGTTATTTTGGCAAAACAACCAAATTCAAGGTTATTTTGGCCAGAAGTGTGTTACTCATAGCCGGACTATATCGGGTTACCGAGGCGGTGAAATGACGGCTATTGCTTGCTGGGTCTCTGGCCTTTTCTTTCAGAAATACTGGTTATTTAATTGTGTTTTATCTGTTTTACAGAGCTGCATTCATAGGATGTGTACGTATTTTAAGAACTTTGTCAGAGATTCGAATCGTTCTCTAGAAGCCACAAAAAAGGAAGCACAGAAACGGCGTGTGAGATGATGGGCGTAAACGCTGTAAATAGTGGCTTCTCTTTCTGAGAACGATGGTCAGTTAGTGAGCACCATCAAGTAAAGACATTTCCTCTCTTGAAGAAATGATCCAAAGTGCATCTGAGAAATGCACATATGTTGGAAATGTAAGTACTGAAAAAAAGGAGAGAGAGAGATATGAAACAACCATTTTGTTCATATTCAACTGTCATCTTGAATCTTTACACATTGAAAAAGCAAGGCTTTTACATGAATATGTTGGCTAGTCTCTTTCTATTTTGCCCTGTCTGTGTGGCGACCCTTGACCCATATATCAAGAGAAGTTTCTCAAATACTAAAATTCAACAGAATTGTCAAAGCAAAATGAACCAATCCTTCACATCTCTTGTGTATGTGGGTGATATTTTCTCAAGGCTCACTGGTGGTTGGACTAAAGAAGAACCCGTGGTGTTAGTGTTAACAGTACTAGGTAATTTCCTGTGCTTTGCTGCTCAGCGTTTGAGGTCAAGCGATTTCCTTTTTGGTATGTCTCACTTGATGTTCCTCAAACTGAAGTGACAAATTCGCACAGTTCCCAGCTAAGACATCTTCGATCATGTCATGCATGTTTAACAGCCATTTTACATGATGGTAAGTACCCAAAACTTTGATCTTACAAAGCAAAACGATGATATCTTTCATCAGAGTATTGATACATATCAGTATGTTTTCTCGGTTATGGTGTAGACGTGTGTTTACTAGGCTTTAAACATTTCACATATATATTCACATCTGTGTTTTCACATATACACTGTCATGTGAAAATAACCAACATGTAGTTTTAAATCTACTAATAATACAGCTTTAGCCAAATCAGCTTTCTCTAGAAGCCATGTGATTGTCATTGCATAACAGCAACGTTCCCTAAACCGTTATATCTTCTGACCACATCTAAAAGCTGCTTTTACATGTAAATACCTGTGTCAATGTTTGCATTTCACTGAAGTGTTTTACCATGCTGTGTGTTGAGTTTCGCATTGGCAGTGTTATTATTTTCCAAGATGCATTTCTTTTTCTCAGTCAAGATTTCTGCGACCCCTCCTTGTCCTAAAATAGCATCTTCTTGGTCTGTTTAAAGGGTCATTGTTGAAATAAAGCCTCAATGGCGTTTTATGGTTGTATATGATTGTATATGGTTGACAGAGCAAACAAAGAGCTGGCCAAGTTTAACAGCAAGTAGAGTAATCAAAGTCCACGTTTGTGAGCAGTGCACTACAACATACATATAATCTGGACAACAGGGAAGCTCTCGCTGCCATGACACTCGGTGAGATGTAGTTTTAACTCTAAACATTATTCTACATAAAGGCAGTTCTCTGTACGGTTACGCTGGTCTTCAGATCTGTTAATGATTACAGGGTGCTGATAAGTGTGCTTTAGTGCTAGTGGGAAACAGGTTAAGGAACATGCGCTTAAAAGCACAATTGCTATACTTTTGCACCAGTGATCCTGAATCCATATACATTTGGTTATCTATATAAAGTAAACACCCGAGACCCCAACTGTGTGTGTGAATCGACCGAAGGTTTCTGAGTTTTATCTGTTTGAGTGACAGCTTATTATAGTGGCAATATCGCTAAGGCAAAGAGTCATCAGACTCTTTTTGAACATCAGATTATGTAAGGTATATTGTCTATTTCAGGGTGAGTATCAGCTGTGAACGAGTATGGAGAGACGACCGCGTGACGAGACGGTAGAGGGCTCTCGATCACAGCAGTCGGCGTTAACAGCGACCCTGAAGAACTTCACCATTCCCAGGAAGAAACGCACCTCTGGAGAAGGTTTTACTAGGCTTTCTTAAAATCCATATCTGTGATGGCATGCAAACTGTGTGATGATGGTACTGTCATAATGTTGAATTCCTCTGCTGTTTTTAATAAGTGCTGTTTGACTTCTCTTGGGTCAGTCCTTCTGGAACGTTGTTCAGAGGAGAGCCGCGATTACAGTCTCATTCAGACCAAACTGAGAGACTCCAACCTGGACTCGAGGAAGGACCGAGCAAACGCATGGATCTGGAGAGATGTTTGTTTAGTGCACAATGAAGAGCTCTTTAAAAAGTTCTCTGAAAAAAGGTAATTACATTAAAACTGCAGCGTGCAATAACATCTTCAGTGATTCTGCTGTTATACTGTAGCTGTGCGTTTCGTAAAGTGCTTGTTGCTGATCTGTCACCGCTCGTCGGCTGACTGCAGGGCAGAGATGCGTGCCAGAGGAAGACACGGGAGAGAAATGGAGGAAAGTTTCTGTTTTTTAGCGGCATCGGATCAAATGGCGGCCCAGATTTATCAGCATGGCCTGCGGGTTGGCAACACAGTCCAGCATGCCTTGGGAAAGCCATCACATGGTGTTTATCTGTTTAAGCATGTCGACGTGGCATTAAAGTCAACTACCAGCACATTAAGTGCAAAAAAATTGTTAATTTTCAAGGTTTGTTGAATGTTTCTTGTACCCTCTAAACATTTTGGAATGACACTTACTTGTGGAAGGACATTTGTGAGCATTTTTGTGCTTTGGGGCTTCAGGTTCTTTATGGAAAGGTGAAAAAAATTGCTCCAAGCTTGGACTGGAACAAAACGCAGGATCCCACAGTGAGCTTTGACTGTCACATGTGTAAAGATGCAGCGTCCCATCGAGACACTCTTCACCAGCAAGTACTCGGCTCCGCTGTGAGTCGATTCATCTCAGAATAGCAAATGATCCAGTCAAATATATCTAAAGATCAACAGGAGTCTTAATAAAACATTGTTTTTCTAGGTCTTTCTATTTGACTATAATGAAAAGCAGGAGCTCAGTGAAAGACCCAGGCAGTGTTTGCCGTATGCCGTAGTTTCATTTGTTCCTGCCAGCAGTGCCATTCTGACTGTTCCTGCAAACCTACAACTCTCTCCTTCAACGCTACCTGTCGGCCAAGTGCATGGTGAGATACAACAAACCTCTTTATTAACACATCAAATACATGCATCAGTATCATGTCAAGCTTAGTTGTATAGCACGTTTCATAATACATGATTTCAAAACGGCTTTGTAGAAATGTGTGTCTCATGATTATGCTTCTGTTTATTTAATCAACAACATGTGTGTTTATTCTACCACTGAAAATGCAATAGATCGTTTCAAAGCCTGTACTGTGGCTGAGAGAAGACGAAAAGGAAACACAGCCACCATTACATTCAAACATTTTGGCACGCCGGGCTGCTTTGAGACGGATTATACACCTCAAAATCCAGCTCCATTTCAAAAGACGGATATGCAAAACACTCAGTCACTCAAGCCGAAGCAGTGCCAGACTCCTGCCAGCGAGGACAGCAGTTCAGTGCCAGTTACGGGTCACACTGCTCTCTCCCAAAGCTTGCTGGGAAAGAAAGCATTCACATGTGGAAGACGTGACAGTAAATGGGACAAAATACCTCAAAGTCCACTGGACAAAATTTCCACCATAGTGTATTCTTCACGCTTGGTCAGGGATCCGCGTCTGTCTAGACAAGAAGCAAAACGGCAGACCGACTGCTCAGAGGCCGAGGCACCGTGGGATAATACAAACGGCCAACGAGCCTGTCAAACCCAAGAGGACAATTATGGATTTGCTGGAAATAAGTGTGATTCAAAAGAGCCATCAAACATTGACCAGATGGAAGTTCAAAGAGAAAATGGCTGTTCCTTAAAATCCACAATGAATGATCAATGTGTGCCCATCCCAGCATTGCCCTCAATGAAGTTATTCAAAATGAAATTCCAGAAATATGCTGCATACTTTAGACTGAATGAGGAAGAGAGACATCAAAAAATCTGGTCACAAGAAAACATGTCACCAGAACAAAAGCAAGAACTAGCTGATCGTATACATTTCTATGAGGTTTATTACGAGAAGTATAAAAAGGGCATACTCTTTCAAAAAATCATTGAGACAAAGGAGACCTCCAGTCTGTCTCAAAGTGAGCCCAAAGAAGATCAAGTTTTACAGACAAAACACACAGACGAACAGAATCAGTCCGAACAAGCACAACCACGCGATGCTGCAAGTTTGTCAGATTACAATGATTTTGTTAACGGGGATAAATGGAGCACAACACACATTTATGAGACCAAACATCCAGATCATCCAGAACCCAGCATAGAAATAAAGGGACAGGATCACACGCTGCCAGAGACTCATCAGGAGGATCCCAATGGATGTCTGATTCAGTCTCCAGACAAACTTTCAGAGCAACCCTTGGTGCTGGGGTCACTGAGTCTCAATGAAAAAGCTGATAGACCAAGTGTTCAGTTTGACCTTAAGCACCCGAGTCCCTCTAATGAAGCTACGCTTAATCACAGCAATGAGTGTGAGTGTGAGCTTTCCAGAAGTGCAGGAGAGGACGAGCAGGACAATGGATCTGCTCCCGGGGTTAATTTGAATGAAAGGCCCGGCACTAAATCATCCCTTGTGTATACAAACAACATCATGGATATTGCAAGCTGTGTCGAGGTCTCTAGCTGCGAGGCATCAGACAACTGTAATCTCAAAAGTTGCAGCAGTGTTCAAGAGATGGATTCTGTTAGACCGGAAAAATGCTGCAAACTCTCTGAAACATCTCCAGAGCTCGAGATGGAAACAGTACAGCTGGAAACTCTGTACAAAAGACTTCAACTTGATCAGCTATTGCCAAGCAAAAATCAAAAGCATGTTTTCTGCTCAAGGGCTTACCTTACACCCAGAGTTATGGGCAGACCCGCAGACACCATTTCCATGGCAAAAAATTTAAGCAAACATCACAGCAAAGCTGAAACAAACCTAGACACAAGATGCTCGATAAATCTCCATCTCTTAGTTAATCTAAAGGCCAACGAAACGTCTGCTTATAAAAGAGAAATGCTTTCTCTCTCTGAACGATTTTCAAAAATCAAAGGCCTTCAAAAGAAGTTGAGTGCAAGAAACAGCAAAGTGACCCAAATGTGCAGCAGTGAAGGACACAAAGAAACTGAAACCTGTAATGCCGAACTAATACAGCTACTAGCTCAGAGGTTCAGTAAAAGAAAGAGCTTGAGCGGACCGGGAATTAAAAAGGCATGTCTCAGAAAACAGCACACTGTTTTATCACTAGCTCACTCTCTAAAGAGAAGCAAATATCTCAAGAAGACACATTTTTGGAAAGCAAAGAAGAATCTTTGCAGAAGAATTGTGTCAGCTAAGAGTGCCAATGAAACAGTAAACAGCAAGGCAACGTCAGACGCTTCAAACAGTCTGTCACAGTCATCTGAAAAAGATCAAGACCCGGACTCTAATTTAAGAGTAATATCCCACACATCTGATGCTGAAGATGACAGACAGTGGTTGCACATTCAGAGCTGTCAGGAAGCTAATGCTTTTAGAAGTATAATCCAAGATCAGTGTTGTCCAACCATGTCTGTTATCAGCAAAGATCTGACACCATCCATAGGTTTCAACACTATTCCTGAGGCCAAAGAGGAAGCAATACATCCTACAGAACAAGTCACATCAGAGACTAGATTGGATCCATTAACCAATGAGGATTTCACAATGAAAATATCAGTAGATGACAATGTAGATGCTTCTGAGAGCTTGAGTATTTGTGATTATGAGGCATTAAAAGCCAGCAGTGTTATGAGTGCAAGCAACACAAACAACAGTCATACAACTGAACAGACAAACGTGACTCAAGGAGCCAAAGTGATTCCTACTATCGATAATACAGCTGAGACAGACACTATCAACTGTGAGCAAAATGCTAGTTCTCGGAATGTGCAAGCAAGAGAAGACATGCCAGTAAATATCCCAAATATGAACCAATCATGTCTTGAAATTTCTACCAACACATCTAATTGCAGCAGTGTTTTGAGTACTGATACAGACGCAACATCAGATTCAAAGCAGTGTGGTCTAGAGACTTTGAAATGTGCATCAAATAATGTTGTAGATCTTACTGTTGATGATCCAGTGTTGAATGGCAAATGTGAGATTTCTTTAGAGAATATAAAGAGCAGCAACACCAATTCGCTTGGTTCAACCAAATCACTAAATACTAACATAATCAAAGACAGATGTGATTTATCAAGGCCAGAGCCAAACAAAAAAGATGATGCAAACTCACCAGAAACCCAGCTTATTTCTAAACTAAGAGATTATTTGACCAAATTTGAGTCCACTGTCAAGAAACAAGAAGCAGTGAATGAAGATCTGAAGGAAAGACCAGTGGTGTGGATAACACTTGACAGCACGGCACATAAACAGCAGTTGTTTGAACAAGGCCAGTACTGTATGGTGAATCTTCCCTGCCTGATGCCTCCCGGGTGCGACGCTGTTACGCAAGACTACCCCAGTGAATGCACTGAAACCCCTGTTCAAACCAGGAGGGCTCCTCGGGGGGAACATGCTCAAACTGGAGCTGATGTTTGCCTGCTAGTGCCTGTTGAGTCTAAGAGAGGCAGACGATTTTCCCATACCAAACGCACTAGAAGATCAAGAAGGAGCTCAGTTATTAGTGTCAGTCCTGACAGTACCAGTGCATTAGACAACGTCAAAGATAATTCGATTCCCCTGGTCCAAGTGAACGACCTGAACACTGGTACCCCAGAAATCTCCATCAATAACACCCCAGATGCCCAGTTCCAGATGCAAAGAGCGAGCACAACTGGCCGACAAAATCCCTCCGAGAATTTGGATAGTTTATGTGAACGAAAGAGTCAAGAAAATCAGTCTTTGACCACGATAGAAATCATTGACGATGGCGATGTAAGCAGTACATTCGCGGACAATGAATACAGCATCAGTGACATTTCAAACACTCTTAAACTGGCTGACAAGACAACCTCGTTAACCGAACTTGGATCTTTGCAGTCTAAATGCAAAAACATGTTGCAGTATTTCATCTCTAGTTTTGAACGAGATCAGAAAGTGCCCTTCGACCAGTCTTTCGTTTCAAGATGCCTCATCTTAGAGCAATATTTGGACCATCCACCTGCACAAGTAGACCTGAAGTATGAAGCAGTGAACTCTTACTTGGAGTTGCAGATGATGATGGAAGCTTGGCAGTTTGTAGAAAACAAAATGAACTTCTTCCGAGGTAAACCTACATTTAGGAGTTTGCTTTGGTACGATCCCTCTCTTTACGGAGAGCTCTACAAGGGGGAGGTTGGCTTTCAGCAACAGTCGTCCTTGTTCGTTTCTTTCCAAAATATCCTGGCACAAGAGGGCTACAGCAAACTGCAGGAATACTACAGTGCCGTGTCCTTGTTGCACCAACAGCTCCATGCGGCGCCTGATGCCTCTTACTACATGTATCTGAAGAGCAAGCGTGAGCTCCTCGAGGCTGAGGCCGCTCTCAGGAATCCCCACGATATTAAAAGCTTCTTTTTATCTGTACCAATTGCTGCGATGATCAACTTCGGAGACAATTTGGAAAGACTGGAAAAGGTCCACAAAGTCATAATGACTTTTGTGGAAACACCATCAGATCAGTTGCCTGGGACATTTGATGTGGGCAAAGCAGAGCATCTGTCCATCGCATGCAGATATCTTCAAGAAAAAGCTCTTTTCATGAAATCATGCAAGGAAGTGATTAGCAAAATATCATGGTTTGGGATTGAACACCTTCTTTATGACGCCTCTAAGGTTCTCGTGTGGCAAGACATGGGTCATGGTGCACCGAGTGAGGCTCTCAAGACATATAAGAATTCAAACCCGCAGATTATTTTTGGGGTGACGGAGTCAGGTGTTACTCTCGTGAACAAAGTGGACCAGCCTCCTCCGGCCATGGATGGAGCAGAGACGAGACATAAGAGTGATGCTGCACGGAAACGCAAATGTTTACAGTTATGGATGTCCTCTCAACCCAGTGATGCACAGGTAAGATTTCACTCATATATAAAGTCAACATGAAATCAAAACGTTAGGTTTTTAGTGTGGATGATTCAACGTTCATGTTATTCCAAAGAAAAAAAATAGTTTGGCTTGGTTGTCTTTAATTCAAATGTAATAATTTTCTCAGAAATTACTTTCCCCTTACCCCATATAATGCATTGTTTTAGCAAACTCTTATTTGATCTGGCTCCCGACATAACATCCATTTTTCTTGATCCATTCAGTTCCCAGTGAATAAAGTCCTTTTCTCTCGTTGAATATCTTCTTTCACAAAGAAATACATTGCAATATGAGTTGCAAATGGCAGTTTACTTTGACTTTACACTCTTAAAAATAAAAGTTCTTTGACATTCATGGAACCTTTTCATTGCACAAAAGTTTCTTTAGTGGAAAAAGGTTCTTTAGATTTTTTAAATGTTATTCACACTAAGAAAATAAATCACTGAAACCAAAAATGGTTCTTCTATGGCATCAATGCAAAACCCCACCTTTCGGTACCTTTATTTTTAAGAGTGTAAGGAAGTTAGAGTTGCTTTTTGGATGATAGAGATATTAAGATTCTATTTGAAAGAAAAACATTGTGTGTCTTTCTAAATGCTTTAATTTTTTTTGAATAATCTAGAGTAGAAATGTTGACAAGGAGGTGACTTACAACATGGCCAAAAGGAGGTAGGAGACATTTAAAAAATTTAATATAAAGATTAAATGTTTATTTTTAATGCATATTGCATTGACTTTTTAACAAATGTGTGGCTGATAAATGTTTCCAACGTCCTCAGGGCAACTCATCCACCCGTCACACAATGTAACATGCATAATAAAGGTGTGAACCCCCATTTCCAAACAACTCCTGCAACCCACGTTGGGATCCCGAGGCCTTACTACACTCTTCCTCACAGAGTGGACCCGGGCCAATGGGGAAAGGTTGGAAACACGGCTGCGGACTGGACTATGTCTGCACCTTCCACGTCTCATGCACACTCAGACATAAATCCTCATCTTCTGTCTAAAAGACGAGTGACTTTATCACACTCTGATGAGAGATCTTTAGCAGACGTACAAAGAGCGCAATGGCCTTTAGTCTCGGCTCCCCAAGCAACTTTACGAGGAGATTCTTGTGTCACACATCCAGCGTTTGATAGTGCTACATATCTAAAAAATAACACTGAAGCACATCGTCCTGTGCTCACACAAGAACAAGGGAACCAGTTCAATTTAGCCATGACACAACCTTATAATTTAGCCAACTGTCCTCTGAATGTGAATATGGTTCCTCCTCCTGCTCCTCACTCTTTGACACGTGTGCCTGTGCCCAGCAGGATTCCAGCCATTCATTACCCATACTTCCTTCTAAACGGACAAACATACACCACAGGCTCCACTGCAGCCGTTCACCCTGAGACTAGATATTATCCCAACACCATGGGCTGATGAACTACAAGATACCAGAGAATGACATGCATATGCATTTTTGTTGTATTTACTATTTTATTTACAGCGAAATTACATGAAAAAGAACTGGTTTTACATCATACAACTAAAAATGCTATTGATGCATACGTGCACTTGGTACTTTTAAGCAAAGGTACTTTAATGTGACTTTATATAATATAACATACATGTTCAGGTAAAACCATCCTTGTTGGCTACTGTATAATATAACAGTGTTTTGTACAAAGAGTTCAGTTACTTTATTTATTGATTCAACTTTTTTTTCTAAGACAATTTAACGTAAATAAAGATATGATTTGATAATTCTACACACTTCGTGGCCGAGCTGTTCTGCAATATACTGGCCGGTAACTCACTGCATAACAGCATTGCTTTCAAACAGAAATTGTTTGTGATCTCTTACACTTCAGAAATATGGTAGCCTACTTACATAGCTACACTACACTGTACTATTCATGATTCTGGCACAGCCACGCAATGTTGCCAGGTATATTGCATAACAGTATTACTCTACTTATATGTTCTGCTTACTTTGCAGTTTAGAAATGTACTTGAGGGGTAACTACTTTTGTTTTATTGCAGAACATATAAGTAACCTACATTATGCATTATTAGGCGCAGAGATGCTTGTGATGTCTAATAGGTTTCCCACTTACCCGTTGTAAACTGCATGCATTGAATAACTGATTAAAAATGTACAGCCTATAGTATGAACCTTCATTGAACACGTGAGCACATATCTAGTTTCCCGCGTCTTCCTGGCCACTGGGGGCAGCAGAGCGTCGCGGGCACTGCATGCCTTTCTGATGACGTCACGGGCGGCGGCCATTACACAGCGCGTTTAGGAGGAAGGTCGGAAGCGCGACGAGTCAACAGAAAATTCGTTAACGACAGATAGCGGATACCGTCCAAAGACAGAAATCAGTTACCGTCAACCCTAGATATAAAACCACCGGTGACACGCATTAGGTGTTTAATGAGCTGATAGCCGAGTCGAACAGCAGTGTTTGGTGCTCGTGCGTCGGCCCGCGCGTGAGTGTGGCAGTGTTCAGTGCGCGCGCACTCACTGCTGATTCGGTCACCGCAGAATCCGTGAGAAACACCGCAGAATGGATGATAAAACCTTCACGAAAGAGTTAGACCAATGGGTCGAGCAGCTGAACGAGTGCAAACAGCTGAGCGAGAACCAAGTGCGAACCCTCTGCGAGAAGGTAAAGAAAAGCTCGAGTTTCATACATCATTAGCTTTTAATAAACATAAACCATACTATTAAACGTAACGTCTAGCATTACTGAACGCCCTGTGAGAAAATAAACGTATACTTCATTATTATATCAAGCAAGCATCAATATTATTTTTGATACAATGAATGGGATTTGCACACACTGATCTCCTCCTGGGACCCAGGAATAGACGTGTGTACCCTGTAGTGGATACTATAACTTACTGTAGTGTATTTCTCTAACAGCACACACACTATACTGTAGTGTATTTCTCTGACCGCACACACACTATACTGTAGTGTATTTCTCTGACAGCACACACACACACCACAGGTCTGAGTCCTGTAAAGAGCAGATTCAGGGCTTTCAGAGACACCAACTGTTCACAGCTTTCACCAGGACAACAACTTCTGCTTGCTCTTTAAACATGACTGGCATTCATTTAGTGATCAAATGTGGCACTCTTATGGAAAATGATTATATTTTATCATTTAAATCTGACTCATTTTAAAACTGCTTGTCATAAATCAACATTTTAGGAAAGTGTTATGATGTTTCTTGATTTCATAAATGTCCACTGTAGAGACACCAGGACTTACAGCAGGTTTACCAGAGACACAACAAGTGGAATTATAGATCAATATTACTATGAATGATTAACTATTATGGAAATGATGCCAATTAAACCTCCACATTATTATACTTTTTTTTTTTATTACATGTTTCCCCAAGAACGCATTAATATGCAGATTAGATACAGTTCATAGATGCATTGTATATTGAATGGGAAACTCCATTTATGGCTTTTTTACCCACATATTGCATAAAGTAAAATGGTAAATCAATTAAATCCATAATATATTTCATAAAAAGGTTGAGAATAATTTTTATACAAATTTTGGTTAAAAGAAAACCCTGAAACCTAAACATGTATCGGTGAATGGGGAAATATCCCACTGTTTTTGCCTAAACATGTCATTCCATGTCTTTAGTTTTTAAACAACTCCTGTTGTCACTACAGAGGACATAACATATGAATACAATATCTTTTCAAAATGTTTTTTTTCTTTCATTTGTTCCTTATGCTCTAAACAATGAACAATGACATGAATATCTCAAATATTTCAAACATGAAATACTAAATGCAAAATTTGTTTTCCCCCCTGCTTCTGAGGATGATATACATTTTAGCTGATGAAAATTAGCCTACTTTTTGCATATTAGTCTATATTCTGAATCGTGGCGAAGTATGAATACTTTGTTTTGATTGTTTTTAAAGTTCGCAGTAAGTCCTTGAACACAAGTATAGTGTTGCAAGTATGTCTGCTGATATCCCATAATGACTAATGCAGATTGATTTGGGCGATGTAAAATTTCTCATAATGCTCACCTAAACGTGTGGAGGACCTCTGTGTGTAACGGCTGTCATAGCATCATGCGACTGGTGTATGCCACAGCCGACACACGGCAATATTGATTTAGTCAGAAATGCCATTCTCATTTATGCGTGTCGTTTAGTTGCTCGAGTTTATTCATGCCTGTGTGTTTTCTATATGCGTTTGTCGTCATGTGCAGTCTCTATAGTGTGTGGTGAAGGGTGACCTCCAGCACACACACTCCAGCTGCTTGTGTTTACACTCACCTCTGTTGTGTACATGTGACACAGATGTTACCTCACATCTGGCTGACGTCAGCATGATGACTCTGTGGGTCTGGACTCTCCTGAGATGATCCAAAGAAAATATTTATCACTGAAGGTGTTAATAATACAAGTTAATTAAAAATACAGGAAGTAACAAAGTGCAATCTTGCCATTAAAATGAGAAAATAAAGCCGTTCTGGTGGCTCACACAGCCATGTGTTTCTGGATCAAACGTGGGACGGCTTTATCAGGAGTTCTCTAAGTGAGGATGGGTTCATTCAGGCAATAGAGAATGAGATCGATTGCTATATTGTGAGTTTGGTTGTGGCTGAAGAGCATTGTTACACACAGCGAGCAACTGTACCCTGTAGTGTGGCATAGAAAGCCTTATTACTTTAATAAGCAGTAACTGTTTTATAAAAGCAATGAGGTCATCACCATCATTGTTATATATAAAAAGCATTTGTTAGGTGCCATTACTCTGCTAGAAGATCTGATCCTGACAGAACATTCAGCAAACATAACCCTCCACATTACGACATGATGATGAAGCAGTATTGAGGTATTGCGTAATCTGGAAACACAAGAGGTGTTTATCATAACTGTCACGAGATGGCAGGTTACCCATAAAGCTCTTCAGGAAGAGCAGAGAAAAGCTCTTTCCATTGAGTTTGAGTCAGTGTGTCTTCAAAACATGATGCCTTTTGTGTTGTTTGTAGGTTTTAAGAATGTCACACGTATGCAGAAATAGCAATAGTATTGAGCACTCGAACATGTCCAAATCTGCCCATGTAATCATGTACTATGGGGTAAAAGGGGTAAGAGTAAAGACAACTCTTTAAAGGTCTCTCTCTCTCTCTCTCCATGGAAACACACTCATATGGACGGTCTCCATGGTGACGGGGGTTGTTCTCTCCGCAGATATTGATTTGGTTTCACAGCGATACAGATGCTCAGACATACACGTCCACCAGACGTCCATATCTGTGCATGTTTCAGAGCGGCTTGTGGTCTTGAGGATTTCCAGCGTGGTCTAACTTTAGGCAGTGGACGTGTCAGGGAGATTTGGGAGCATGCATTTATAATATCAAACTACATATACATTTTCAGATGATGGTTTGAGTGGTGCTTGCCTGGTCCCTTAACAAAAACACGAGCGAGTGAGTTCTTGTCCAGGCAACGGGTGTAGCTCCCTAAACGAGAGGAGTCGTGCCTCTTGCGATATCAGACACCGCTACTGAATGCTCAACACTGGCTAAAGCAGGCTGGGTGCTTGAGTTGTGTGGGATAAGGCTGGATGTTTGTGGCTCTGTAAATGTTCTGGTCAGGTGTTTGACTGCGCCGTGTGCTGGAGGTGAGCCCAGGCTCGGCACGCACCGAATGCTTTCACTACACCGATTCTAGGCTGCCAAACATGTTCAGGCTGAAATGGTTTCGAAGGGTCGAAATCATTGACTGAAACCGTGATGTCTAATATTGGCACTGCTGCAGTGGTGCAGTTTGACTGGTTGAGCGTCTGTTTCATGCACACAATGTGGACGAACTACAGCAGTTAATGCGTCAGCTAGGGCTGGGCCATATGACAAAAGTTGTTTCACCATATGAGAGATTTTGTGTCATGATTATATATATATATATATATATATATATATATTAGGGGTGTAACGGTACACAAAAATCACGGTTCGGTACGTACCTCGGTTTTAAAGTCACGGTTCGGTACATTTTCGATACAGCAAAAAGTAAGAAATGCAAGAGAAATTTCCTATTTGTTAAAAGAAAAAATATTTTTTAAATAAGTGTGAGTTTTCCTACATCTTGAAACTTTCAGGTTTATAAATGGGGGTCATCTTTGAAGGATGAACAAATAATGTTTTGGTCATCACATTAAAAATAACATTTAAATATATGAAGAGTTCAGATGCAAAAGCCATTTGAAATTTTCTTCTAGAATGATCATTTTTATCAAGCTTGTATATTTAAGTTCAGTAATTTCACTTAAATGGCAATGAAGATTACCTATTAATTGTCATTTGAGTGTAATTACTGAACTTAAATATACAAGCTTCATAAAAATGATCATTCTAGAAGAAAATTTCAAATGGCACTTAGCTTTTGCATCTGAACTCTTCATATATTTGAGTTTTGAAGTGCTGGAAAAAGCTGTGTGAAGTACTTGAAAGCATTTCACTATTCCAGCCAAACTGGTTACAGTTAGTGTTACTATATTAAATCCATGGTGAATGTTGCTGGTCTGTGGACTTAAAGCCTATAACTAGTTCATTCACGGCACAATGTTTCTCCCGGTGTCCACGTCAGCGCTGTTTGATCTAATAGAGATCTACGGTTAATAACGGAGAAATGTGAATGCTTCTCACTAGATCTCGCAGTGCTGTTATTACTTCAGTGGCGAATTCAAATGTTTTCTTCACTGGATCTCTTAGCGCTGTGTTGTAACAGTGTCGCTTGATCGAGATCGGCTCGCGCTGCACAGATGCTGCTGGTCTGAACTGATAAACGATCCATGAAGCACAATATAATGAGTAGCGCAGTTTCTTTCCGCTTTCATTGCGTTTGCCATTTGATGTTGCGCAACGTTGTGGTGATCGCGCCAGCGCGGATTTTGTCGGCAGGAAAAATGGTCCAAGGAATCGTTCGGTTTGTATGCGTACCGAACCGGAAGCCTCGAACCGAAACGGTTCAAGACGAATACATGTACCGTTCCACCCCTAATATATATATATATATATATATATCTCACTATACTTATTTCAGAGCAGTGAGCGAGGTTCTCTTTTGTTTGATTCACATTAATGACACAGAGCAGCAGGTTTATTAGGCTGCTGTCACTTTAAGACTGAATGCACGGATCTAATATACTGATAAAGGCGCTTTATGCAATTTGAGTTCTTAACTCCATTAATGAAGTCGTTGTCCAGAAGTTAAACAAAGTTTTTAGAAGCATTTGTAGTGGATGCACTGCTTTTGAACACTCGTCCTGTGGCCCGCTACGTTTTAATGACAGCGAAGAGTGCTAGTAGGCGCATTATAATTCCTCTTTGACTTGCAGAACTCGTGTTCTGAGAATATTCTCGCCAGAACAAATTTGCGCACTTGACTCGGCTATTACGGCAGACGCTGCTGGATTGGTTGGGTCCATTGGCCGGTTTGCAAGGGTCCGATGGCACCGCTCTGTACACCCGCTGCTGTTGATGTCGTGCGCAGACAGACTGTAGCCTAATGATCACTCCTCCTGTGATCTTCACTGTGTTAGGAAAAATACCAGTGTATTTGAAGGATAGAATTTGAAAGAAACGGTAAGATTTGCATGTTTCTCTAGAATGTTTTTGACTGCCGAGTCAGACAATTATATTTACACTGCAAAGTAATATATTTGATTCGTTTTACACAATAACAAATATTATTTTGTCAGTGGTAAAAAATGAGAATAACTCAAGGAAGTTTTCTCTGAAAAGTATTTTATATGGCTCTTATTGATATTTTGATATAGTATTACTAAATTATTTTTATTAATGTAATGTTATTGTACAAATGGTTTTCCATTTTCCTAATATCCAAATATTTTCCTAATGTCTTGTACCGTTAAACTTGGCATCACGTAGATGGGGAATATGCATATGGAAATGATATGCAGATGACGCTGTGTTGTAAAACGAGGCGTTGTAATCTCCACATATGGTTATTTCGGGGTGGAGACGCATGTGCGCACAATTCTTCGCTGACTGGGTTTTATAAGTGGGATATTGCACTGGTTCTGGCTTATGCATGGTTTTATACATCTGAGGAGTGTTGTGCGTATGCAACATCTAGCTTTTGTGCGTATGCACACTTCTACGGGAAGTGTTATACACGAGGGCCTGGACTCTGTGTCACTGATGCGCTGTCCTGTGCTCACACCCACAGGCTAAGGAGATTCTCACGAAGGAGTCGAATGTGCAGGAGGTGCGCTGCCCCGTCACAGTGTGTGGAGATGTGCACGGCCAGTTTCACGACCTCATGGAGCTCTTCAGAATCGGTGGGAAGTCACCTGACACCAACTACCTGTTCATGGGCGACTATGTAGACCGAGGATATTACTCAGTGGAAACCGTCTCACTGCTTGTTGCACTAAAGGTACATTTACTACATTTGCTATGATGGTCTTGCAAACATTTCAGACTTCTTGACACTTGATGTTTTCTGTGTTTTTAGGTTCGCTATCCAGAACGCATCACGATATTGCGAGGAAACCACGAGAGCAGGCAGATAACACAGGTGTACGGTTTCTATGACGAGTGCTTGAGGAAATACGGCAATGCAAACGTCTGGAAGTATTTCACAGACCTCTTTGACTACCTCCCCCTCACAGCCCTGGTGGATGGGCAGGTGAGGAATCCTCCTCTTCTGAGAAATACACATAACACCAGAACCGACATTACTTCTCTGATCTCTGCTGATGGCCGTCGATAACTCGTATAACTCTCTCTCTGTCAGATCTTCTGCCTACACGGTGGTCTCTCTCCATCCATAGACACGCTGGATCACATTCGTGCGCTGGATCGTCTGCAGGAGGTGCCGCATGAGGTCAGTACAAGTAACACACATCGCATCCACACTACTGGCTGCATCCAGTGTTATTTATATAGCACTGGATATAATGCTTGCTACAACCGGCTCAAGATTGTAACATGAACGAGAGGCAACACGGACGTGCAAGTAGTGAAAATACATTTATTCAACGAAATAAACATAATTCCATTAATACTGATTACTGTATCTTTTGTAAGTCAGTAGTGAAGGCGTGCATGAAAGAGGAGTGTAAGCTTAAGGTCTGGAATGGATGCACACAAATAAATATAACAAACGAAAAACAACAAAATATCAGCCGCTCAGTCAGGCACAGTCATCGTAGTTCTCTCTCACAATCATCAGCGCTGCAGTTCTTATAGCCCTGCAAATGAGCCTCAGGTGGAAAAAACACACCCTCACAGACCTGTAACCAAACGCACACCCTCGCTAAACGCCTGTAACCAAACACACACCCTCGCTAAACGCCCGTAACCAAAAACACACCCTCGCTAAACGCCCGTAACCAAAAACACACCCTCGCTAAACGCCCGTAACCAAACGCACACCCTCGCTAAACGCCCGTAACCAAACACACACCCTCGCTAAACGCCCGTAACCAAACGCACACCCTCGCTAAACGCCCGTATCCAAAAACACACCCTCGCTAAACGCCCGTAACCAAACGCACACCCTCGCTAAACGCCTGTAACCAAACACACACCCTCGCTAAACGCCCGTAACCAAACGCACACCCTCGCTAAACGCCCGTAACCAAACACACACCCTCGCTAAACGCCCGTAACCAAACACACACCCTCGCTAAATGCCCGTAACCAAACGCACACCCTCGCTAAACGCCCGTAACCAAAAACACACCCTCGCTAAACGCCCGTAACCAAACGCACACCCTCGCTAAACGCCCGTATCCAAAAACACACCCTCGCTAAACGCCCGTAACCAAACGCACACCCTCGCTAAACGCCTGTAACCAAACACACACCCTCGCTAAACGCCCGTAACCAAACGCACACCCTCGCTAAACGCCCGTAACCAAACACACACCCTCGCTAAACGCCCGTAACCAAACACACACCCTCGCTAAATGCCCGTAACCAAACGCACACCCTCGCTAAACGCCCGTAATCAAAAACACACCCTCGCTAAACGCCCGTAACCAAACGCACACCCTCGCTAAACGCCCGTAACCAAACGCACACCCTCGCTAAACGCCCGTAACCAAACACACACCCTCGCTAAACGCCCGTAACCAAAAACACACCCTCGCTAAACGCCCGTAACCAAACACACACCCTCGCTAAACGCCCGTAACCAAAAACACACCCTCGCTAAATGCCCGTAACCAAACGCACACCCTCGCTAAACGCCCGTAACCAAAAACACACCCTCGCTAAACGCCCGTAACCAAACGCACACCCTCGCTAAACGCCCGTAACCAAACGCACACCCTCGCTAAACGCCCGTAACCAAACACACACCCTCGCTAAACGCCCGTAACCAAACACACACCCTCGCTAAATGCCCGTAACCAAACGCACACCCTCGCTAAACGCCCGTAACCAAACACACACCCTCGCTAAACGCCTGCAACCAAAAACACACCCTCGCTAAATGCCCGTAACCAAAAACACACCCTCGCTAAATGCCCGTAACCAAACGCACACCCTCGCTAAACGCCCGTAACCAAACACACACCCTCGCTAAACGCCTGTAACCAAAAACACACCCTCGCTAAATGCCCGTAACCAAACGCACACCCTCGCTAAACACCTGTAACCAAACACACACCCTCGCTAAACGCCCGTAACCAAAAACACACCCTTGCTAAACACCTGTAACTAGGCCTGTCACGATAGTCAATAAATCAATTAATCGCACGATAAAAAAAAATTAGCTCGATAATTTTTCCAGCTGCGATAATTTCCATTTGCATGCTTGTTTGTTTTCCTCGTCTCTCTCTACCAAAGAGACTGGATGACAACTCTCGGTTCCTTAGCGTAGGAGGAGTGAACTATATAGAACTTATTCTGCCCGAGCCCGAGTGGGTCGGGCCGATATTTCCCGACACTATCCTCGGGCCGGGCCCTTGATCTAGAGACGTGCACTCCCAACACAATAAAGTGCGAAAACAAAATAGAAATGTAACCAAACACACACCCTCGCTAAACACCCGTAACCAAAAACACACCCTCGCTAAACGCCCGTAACCAAAAACACACCCTCGCTAAACGCCCGTAACCAAAAACACACCCTCGCTAAACGCCCGTAACCAAAAATACACCCTCGCTAAACGCCCGTAACCAAAAACACACCCTCGCTAAACGCCCGTAACCAAACGCACACCCTCGCTAAACGCCCGTAACCAAACACACACCCTCGCTAAACCCCGTAACCAAAAACACACCCTCGCTAAACGCCCGTAACCAAAAACACACCCTCGCTAAACGCCCGTAACCAAAAACACACCCTCGCTAAACGCCCGTAACCAAACGCACACCCTCGCTAAACGCCCGTAACCAAAAACACACCCTCGCTAAACGCCCGTAACCAAAAACACACCCTCGCTAAACGCCCGTAACCAACACACACCCTCGCTAAATGCCCGTAACCAAAAACACACCCTCGCTAAACGCCCGTAACCAAACGCACACCCTCGCTAAACGCCCGTAACCAAAAACACACCCTCGCTAAACCCCGTAACCAAAAACACACCCTCGCTAAACGCCCGTAACCAAAAACACACCCTCGCTAAACGCCCGTAACCAAAAGCACACCCTCGCTAAACGGCCGTAACCAAACGCACACCCTCGCTAAACGCCCGTAACCAAAAGCACACCCTCGCTAAACGCCCTTAACCAAAAACACACCCTCGCTAAACGCCCGTAACCAACACACACCCTCGCTAAACGCCCGTAACCAAAAACACACCCTCGCTAAACGCCCGTAACCAAACGCACACCCTCGCTAAACGCCCGTAACCAAACGCACACCCTCGCTAAACGCCCGTAACCAAACACACACCCTCGCTAAACGCCCGTAACCAAACACACACCCTCGCTAAATGCCCGTAACCAAACGCACACCCTCGCTAAACGCCCGTAACCAAACACACACCCTCGCTAAACGCCTGTAACCAAACGCACACCCTCGCTAAATGCCCGTAACCAAACGCACACCCTCGCTAAACGCCCGTAACCAAACACACACCCTCGCTAAACGCCTGTAACCAAAAACACACCCTCGCTAAATGCCCGTAACCAAACGCACACCCTCGCTAAACACCTGTAACCAAACACACACCCTCGCTAAACGCCCGTAACCAAAAACACACCCTTGCTAAACACCTGTAACTAGGCCTGTCACGATAGTCAATAAATCAATTAATCGCACGATAAAAAAAAATTAGCTCGATAATTTTTCCAGCTGCGATAATTTCCATTTGCATGCTTGTTTGTTTTCCTCGTCTCTCTCTACCAAAGAGACTGGATGACAACTCTCGGTTCCTTAGCGTAGGAGGAGTGAACTATATAGAACTTATTCTGCCCGAGCCCGAGTGGGTCGGGCCGATATTTCCCGACACTATCCTCGGGCCGGGCCCTTGATCTAGAGACGTGCACTCCCAACACAATAAAGTGCGAAAACAAAATAGAAATGTAACCAAACACACACCCTCGCTAAACACCCGTAACCAAAAACACACCCTCGCTAAACGCCCGTAACCAAAAACACACCCTCGCTAAACGCCCGTAACCAAAAACACACCCTCGCTAAACGCCCGTAACCAAAATACACCCTCGCTAAACGCCCGTAACCAAAAACACACCCTCGCTAAACGCCCGTAACCAAACGCACACCCTCGCTAAACGCCCGTAACCAAACGCACACCCTCGCTAAACCCCGTAACCAAAAACACACCCTCGCTAAACGCCCGTAACCAAAAACACACCCTCGCTAAACACCCGTAACCAAAAACACACCCTCGCTAAACGCCCGTAACCAAACGCACACCCTCGCTAAACGCCCGTAACCAAAAACACACCCTCGCTAAACGCCCGTAACCAAAAACACACCCTCGCTAAACGCCCGTAACCAACACACACCCTCGCTAAACGCCCGTAACCAAAAACACATCCTCGCTAAACGCCCGTAACCAAACGCACACCCTCGCTAAACGCCCGTAACCAAACACACACCCTCGCTAAACCCCGTAACCAAAAACACACCCTCGCTAAACGCCCGTAACCAAACACACACCCTCGCTAAACCCCGTAACCAAAAACACACCCTCGCTAAACGCCCGTAACCAAAAACACACCCTCGCTAAACGCCCGTAACCAAAAGCACACCCTCGCTAAACGGCCGTAACCAAACGCACACCCTCGCTAAACGCCCGTAACCAAACGCACACCCTCGCTAAACGCCCGTAACCAAAAACACACCCTCTCTAAACGCCCGTAACCAAACGCACACCCTCGCTAAACGCCCGTAACCAAAAACACACCCTCTCTAAACGCCCGTAACCAAACGCACACCCTCGCTAAACGCCCGTAACCAAACACACACCCTCGCTAAACACCCGTAACCAAACGCACACCCTCGGTAAACGCCCGTAACCAAACACACACCCTCGCTAAACGCCCGTAACCAAAAACACACCCTTGCTAAACACCTGTAACTAGGCCTGTCACGATAGTCAATAAATCAATTAATCGCACGATAAAAAAAAATTAGCTCGATAATTTTTCCAGCTGCGATAATTTCCATTTGCATGCTTGTTTGTTTTCCTCGTCTCTCTCTACCAAAGAGACTGGATGACAACTCTCGGTTCCTTAGCGTAGGAGGAGTGAACTATATAGAACTTATTCTGCCCGAGCCCGAGTGGGTCGGGCCGATATTTCCCGACACTATCCTCGGGCCGGGCCCTTGATCTAGAGACGTGCACTCCCAACACAATAAAGTGCGAAAACAAAATAGAAATGTAACCAAACACACACCCT